TCACTGTGGGAGCACTTATGTGAAGAGATTTGGTAAAAAGCAGAATCCTTAACTGTGCAATGGTTCAGCATAACATTATCACAAGATCAAATGGTCCTTCTGGCTATCCATAACCTGCAAATGGTTGTTATGTGTTTTACCAAGAATGTTAGAAGTGCAGATCATAAATGCATGACAATATTCTTCTGCGTAGGCTAAAAGGCCTTGGTCAACCAGTGATATGCTATCATGGGCATCGCTCCTCCCATTTGACATATGGTCTATGGAAAAGTTACATCATTGCACAGAAAGTAATCTCTTCTTCGTGTGCAACATTTACCACCAGAAGCATTTCCCCTAAGCTGTTGCAAGTGATTGCATGTCTGAAATATAAACATTTGCATCAATAGGAGCCAAAACCATCTTTAGGATCAAAACAGGAAGTTATCGTGCAGCGCTCACGTTTCCTATTGCAACTAGGTCAGAGAAAGCCGTGTTCGCAGCACAGTGGATCACAGCAATCTGTGAAAGGGGAGAAGAATAGCAGGCAGGAGGCAGATAGGACCAGCTGTCACCACCTCCCTGTAAAAGAAAAAAGAATCAATAACAATGCATCAACATTTCATTACATACAACAACGTTCTAGCCTAGAAGTCTAAACAGACCGTAGCAGAACCAAAAGATTTTGCTTCACAGGTTGGTCTAGCCATGCTCCATTATTAGAGCCTCAGCAGGCCCAAACTGTCTTGTGTCTTGCCAATCACATGTAGCGTTGCAGAAGGCCACAGAAAGCAAAGGTTAAGGCAGGCTGCTTCATCAGTGTGTCGCAGGTTAACTGTCTGGTCTCCAAACCAGAAAACTCACTGCTTGTGATCTTGCCACAGTCATGACAGAATCTGTGCTGCTAGTCAGAAGACAAAGGACAGAACTCTTAACTTTAATAAAAGAATAATTGTGGTTAATTACAATTACATTATATGTTGAATGTTTTAAATGATAAATGACCCGCACTTGTATATCTCTTTTCAGAGTCAGAGGACTCCAAAGCGCTTTACACTACAGTGTATCATTCACCCATTCACACACACATTCACACGCTGGTGGGGATGAGCTACAATGTAGCCACAGCCGCCCTGCGGCGCTCTGACAGAGGCGAGGCTGCCGAGCACAGGCGCCACCGGTCCCTCCGACTACCACCAGCAGGCAAGGTGGGTTAAGTGTCATGCCCAAGGACACAACAGCAGAATTCTGTCTGAAGCTGGGATCGAACCTGCAGCCTTCTGATTACTGGACAACTTGTTGAGCTACTGCTGCCCCCTTTTTCTAAAGTGACTCTAATAAGACTTGAATTCTTGTCAGTAATGAATTAAGTAATAATGAATTGTTTATGTAGAAATGCATTATTTCAAGTCTTAAATACACCAAACGAGTCTACTTGATGATTTAATAATGACTTATCATCAGTTATATCACATATTAGTATTAACAAATGGTTTAGTAGATTTTTGGCATTTGTTAAAATAATGATGTTAATATGTGACATAAGTCGACAGTGTCTTAACCTTTGTATTCAATTCAATTCAATTTAATTTTATTTATGTAGTGCCAAATCACAACGAATCGTCTCAAAGCACTTCACATAATGGACTTCTCCAACGCTACACACAGCACTCTGTTGGTTGGTGGGCCAATCACAAGAGAGGGTGCTCGCTGCAGAACCACAAAGGTGGAGCTGCACCAGAGTCAGCCCCGCCCACTCACGTAAACAGCCAAGCCCACTGACTTCTTCTGTTTGTTTGTTTGTTTTTTATTTTATCGCAAACTAACCTGACCCACATGAATTACGGCTGTTACTACTTTACAAATGTTAATGCTATGTTCTATGCTCCAACTAAGCAAGATAAATATAACTTGCTACATGACAAAGCCTGAATATATCCCGAAATGAAAAGGTTTCTTTTAGCGAATATCTTCTGGTGCAGCTCCGCCTTTGTGGTTCTGCAGCGAGCACCACTTGGATCACAATGCTATATTGGTTTGGTAGGTGGGATGTTGCTGTCACTGAGAGAAAAAAACAAAGATGGCAGTGGCTCGCTTGAAAAGAATTTGGCAACTTTGAACTATTTAGAGTTGGGCTTTAGTTTCTTTTTTTAAAGGAGTGTTTCACTCTTTTATTCAATACAATTGCAGTGGCCTCTGATAGGAACAAATGCCTTGTAAATTAATCCCGGGGGTATACCGGTGCACTAGTTCTTGCACCTAAAAGTCGCCCACATCACAGCTGAGAATAGGACGTCAGGTTTTGGACATATTGCCCAAATTTGATGACAGCAATGCAACGTTACCACTGACTTGCAACGTGGATGTTTCATCTCTACAAACGACACAAGCCGCGAGAGGCTTCTGCCGTGTGGTGAACTTGCTAATGCTAACAGTTAACTTAAGCTAGCCTGGATGTTCTCTGCTGATTCCTGGATGTTAAAACAACAACAGCCTTCCCCGTTGTGAGATGAGTGAGTCCATGAATGCTAAGGGACAATGTGAGCACGTCACAATGCGGAGATAGTTTGAAAGACAACTGTAGATTCCTCCCCACGACTGATCTCTGTCTGTGGGTTGTGGTAAGACTATATATTCACATATATATAGGATGGCTTGCCAGCAGTTATCCTTTTTATACAACCCAACACAGTGTGTGTCAGTCTGTTTTGGAAGATTGTCATTTATATAGCACATTTAATATGCAGAGGCAATTTAATATGCTTTCCTTTAGCAAGAATAGCAAGAACATTTTACTTTGCAGCTTTTGTAAATTTGCATGCATCTCTAACAAGGTCCCACCAATGGAAATGTAGTCATGCAGAAGTCTAGACTGGGCTGTGGTGACACTTTGCCCTCTTTTAGCCATTGTGTTGTTGACCAGAGGTTCGTACTTGTCAAGTGTTGACAAACCAAACATCATACTTGCTCAATCGTATTTTGATTGCCTTGACGTGAACTTTAACCATTAAAACAAGCTCCACGTTGTTTGGAAATGCTCTCTTCCCAGTGACAGGCAATGTTTGCTCTCTTTAGTATTGTTTTAACAGTCAGACCCGAAAACTGACACAACTTCTGCTGTTATGAAGATGCAAATTTGTTTTTAAAGGATGACCATTGTAATAGTTTGCATCTTTTTATTTTATGTACATTTTGGGGGGAAATTTGTTAAATCTTTTATGAAATTAGCTATACAAATGTTTGCTTTGAGTACTTCAGAAAAAAATATCTGCATGGTCTACATCTGAGTCACACGTGGTCAAGAACTAAATTATTTTAAATGAAATGGAAATGTTGAACATGGAGGATGGGGAACAAAAAGTGAGAATATACGGAAATAACTGGAACTTTTGGGTTTATGGAGAGGACAGAGCTGGTAGGTTAAACTGTGATTTCCAGAGAATTTTCTGGAAGATTTCTTGTAGAGATGGGATGCTTTTCCACTAATTTCCTAAATCACTTTAAACTTGACCTTTACTAACTTTTCCTAAACATCCAGTAACATAAACACAATAACTGTATTTGTCTAATCCTAACCCTGTGAAACATCAGTGTAAATTATAGTGAATTTTAGGAGTTTAAATCTGTTTTAGGACAGAAATACACCATTTGAATGTGAATGATTTTTGTCAAACATGTTTTTAGCTTCTCAGAAAGTCTAATAACAAACTAATCATCTCAAAAGGCAGATTTTGGTTCATAAATGCACCACAAATAAGCAGCTAATGAATATTTAGACATAATGCTCCAGACTGTCAAATTACCATGACAGTGCTGATTTACATCAGAAAAATAAAATCTTCCATGTGGAAGATTTTACTAACAGAACCATATTTTAATTATTTCCTCAAATGTATCCTGTTATCTTTTAACTGTATAGTGTGTATTAGTGGGTTGGTGTTAGTGGGTTAGATGTAACTCAAGATTTTTTTAATCTCGATACTAGCCTGACAAGTCATCCTATATGTGAATAAATAGTCTGGCCATGACCCATAGAGAGAGCTCAGTCGTGGGGCGGAGTCTACAGTTGTCTTTCAAACTGTCTCTGTATGCTATTGGACAAGAAACATGACGCACTCACCGCTATGGATGTCAGTCAACGGGGCGATCCATAAACTGTTGAAGAAGATGCAAAAACCTCCTTTTTATAATGAATGACTTTATCTGCTCGTGACTCAAAGAAAAGCCCAAGTCTTTGTTAGGTTTGTTCTGTGTTTTTTATCCGAAGCCCAAGTCTACATAGTCAAAGTTGATGCCAAAGCTATTTCAAACAAGCCGCTGCCATCTTTGTTGTCCCGCTCTGTCGGATTATCCCAAACCAATAGAACGCAGTGATTGGCATAACACAAATCTGCTCAGGCCAATGGAAGACTGCTGAGCATCCTACGGAGCAGACCAACATGCAGAGGAAAACCAGTTTTCTTTGGCTGTTGTCTCTCTGGACTTCTAGGCTATTCCGACACAGTATTTACTCCAACTGCCTCTTGCAAAATTCATTCATATATTTTGTTTGTACATTTTGTTTTATCTTTTCTCTCTTATCTCTGTTCATGCAGACGTTTAGGCTTTTGTTTCGTTTTTTGTTTCATCATATTTTGCTTTGCATCAATTCTAAACCTAAACCAAACTCTCCAGCTGTGTGTTGCATTCATAACAAACTCTTCTTCTTTTCTCCCAGTTCGGAGTGATCCCAGCAGCTGCAGGTAACATCTCACACATGCAGCATTGTTGTCGTTCATAATTACAAACCGTAAGCAGCCTAATTGGTAGTTGAGTCTCAAATGAGCCTGCTGCTGCTGCTACTCCTACTCGCTGTGGACAACCCACGTTCAGCGTTCAGACAGAGCTACGTAATGGCGCGCGCGTGCGCCCCGTCTGAACGTGTGTGTGTGTGTGTGTGTGTGTGTGTGTGTGTGTGTGTGTGTGTGTGTGTGTGTGTGTGTGTGTGTGTGTGTGTGTGTGTGTGAAAGAGAGAGAGAAGAGTGATCAATCGTTATTTCTCCATCTCTGTGGCGTAGGAGGCGTCTGTCAGACCCGTGGAGAGCTCTGTGCGTCCTCCCTCTATCTGTGTCCATCAGTCCGCGCTGAGGACAAAATACTGTCTCCTGAAGTTTGGACACGTTAAACCGGTTTTCACTGATCGAAGAGGACTCTCTTCCGCCGTCCCGGAAGGCTCCTCAAATATCGACTGAAAGGAAGTTAAAGCAAACAGGTGCGTAAAGGACTTCTCTTGTATTTTCTGTATTTCCTCTAAAATAATTAAAACCAATTGCGTGTTTCCTTCCTTAGTGTCACCATATGTGGATTATAGTAAACCCATTCATGTGTTGGGGTTGTAAATCCTACAGGTGGATTTATTATTTATTTATTTCTGCAGCCTTCCGTGCAGCGGCGCTAATATCGCTTATTAACAAACCTGTTGGGGAGATTACTGGCGCGGTGAATTATTATATTTAAAAAATATTTTAGCCTTATATATGTGACTCTCCTCTGCAGCTGTTGTTATTTCGGAGCCGATCCAGCCGCCATGGACGCGTTAATGAAGGGTTTCTCCAAAGCCAAGGATGGGGTCGTGGCAGCGGCGGAGAAAACCAAGCAGGGAGTGACGGGAGCGGCGGAGATGACGAAGGACGGGGTTATGTATGTCGGTGGGTTCTGGGAATTCGTTGGATCAGGAAAAATCACCCCTCCATCCCATAATAGCATTACTATTCCTGTGACCGAATGGGCTTCTTGTCTGTTCCAGGTACTAAAACAAAGGATGGAGTCTCCACAGGTAACCTCTCATGCACGTGATGACCCTAAAAACCTGATTGCTGCCTTACAGATTTTCATTTTCTGCCACACTTTAGTCTGAGATTAAACTTTAATATGAAAGATTGTAAAGTAAATAAAAATAGCAGTTGTTATGTGGTTTGATTGAAAAAAATATCCAAACCAATTTGATTCTATGTGAAAAAGTAATTTCCCTAGTGAATGATGATCTAGCTGGAATGACTCGCATTGTTTGCAAAGCTGAGGACAGTTTCACACCTGATTACCTGTAGGGTTGGGAATAGAACTTGTCTGGCTAAAATTCCTCAAAAAGCAACATGTCGTGTACAGTTCTTAAAAAGGAGCAATAGAACCCACAACTATATCTAAAGCCTCATTGGGTTAAGCTCAGAGGTCATGATTCAACAGTAAAATGGTAAATGGTCTACATTTCTGACCCCCCCCCCCCCCCCCCCCCCAAGGCACTTTACAAAACAACAATCATTCATTCATTAACACACAACCGTAAACTAGTGATGATGAGCTACATTAAAGTTAAAGTCCCATCAGTTGTCACACACACTGATGTGAGTGCGAAATTTGTTCTCTGCATTTGACCCATCCCCTGGGGGAGTGGTGAGCTCCAGCTGTGGAAACACTTGGGAACTATTTGGTGGTTTAACCCCCCAATCCAACCCCTCAAAACTGAGTGTCAAGCAGGGAGGCATTGGGTCCCGTTTTTAAAAGTCTTTGGTATGACCCAACCAGGATTTGAACCCTGATCTCTTATGGGCCATTCCCATCTGTACCGGGTCGGCCCGGGCCGGGTAGCATAGGTTGTTTACATATCTGGGTGGCCTGGTATTTTTCCGGGCCAGTCTCAGGGCGGGCACTACCAGTAAGCCACTGAGCTGCTACATTGCGTTCACTGCTGCCCCTTGGGCGCATTGACCAGTCCTTCCAACCAACACCAGTAAGATGTGGGGCAGAAATGACATCCATAGGACAGCTCCAAAATAAAAACCTTTATTGCCCCCCCCCCCCCCCCCCCCCCCCCACCACCACCACCACCACCACCCCTCAAAATAACCTCAAAGACTTGTCTAATATTTGCCAGGAAACACAATCCCCAAGACCTTTTGGAAAATATTAAGTGGGCTGACGAGACAAAAGTGGAGCTTTGTGGAAGGTGTGTCCCAATACATCTGGACTAAAAACAACTTTGCATTTCAGAAAATTAACATCATAGCAACAGTCAAGCATGGTGGTGGTACTGTGATGGTCTGAGTCTGCTTTGCTGCTTCAGAACCTGGATCACTTGCTGTAATTGATAGAGCCAGAAAATCCTGAAGGAGAATGTCTGACCTTTGACTTTAAACAGGTCATTCTTGCTGGAAAAACCTCCTGACTCAAAGAGATTCTGTAAATAAGACTCGATCAGAGATCCTCCGCAGTGAGTGAGTGACTGTCAACTAAACAGAGTGTGCAAGAGCGCACCACAGTGATGTGCGCACGACTCTGTCTTCCTGTCACCCACCGCCACCTCAAGAGCCCTGCTTTGGTGATTTGGACCAAAGATGTCAGAGGAAACCAGAGTTAACCCAATTAAAAATAAACACAGAAGACTTGATGCAATTCAGTAAAGTTGTTGAATTAAAGCTACAATCCGGAGTTCTCCCCCTTTCAGGAACATGTATGATTTCATTAGAAATCTGTATAAGAGATTGTTGTTTTCATTTCTTTTCATTTATTCAAAAATATTTTTTCTTTGGTTTCTGGAGGTTTATGTTCTTGTCTATTATTCCCACTTTTGATATTGTACCTCTATTTTTTTTCATATGCCCTGAAAATAAATGAATAACAATAAAATGGGTTATAGTAAAGAATTACATTTCTCTTAAACAATTCCAATAGAAAACAAATTGTCCATCAATGTATGCTTAGTTTACTGTATTGCATAGTTTTCTCTGACATCTTTGATCCAAATCACCAAGCAGGTGTCTTGGGGAAGTGGGGAGAATGAAAAAAGAAACTAGGAATGTTTTTGTAGAATGTTCTGGACAGTGTGCTCATGTTGGATTGTTGCAATAAAAGCACACATTCATTTGCATATTCTTAAATCCTGCTATAGTTTAAAATAGCATTATGGAAACTATGTTACAGTATATTTATAATCAGTGATTAATCACGATCAATTGTGATTAACTCATTAACTGGGAGCCATTTACTGATCAGAAAAGCCCTTCGCTGCCAGCATTTTTCAGCATTTTTAAAGTTTTTTTTAAAGTCACTGAACGTTGAGCACTAGGATGATGTCAACACCAAAACTATCAAAACAAAGAGTAGACTCACCTCTTACATCAGGAAGAATCCGCTTGTTTCAAGCGTTATCCGTTCTTTCATAATTCGTTGTCGAATTGTGATCGGCAGAAGCTTTTCCGGTTTTGGCGTGTGACGCACGCGGATGAAGATCGACTTTAGAGCTGGGATGTTTGTTTTCATGGTGCGGAGGCTCGTTCCGACACCCACACAGTAAAAAAATGATAATGAGTTAATCACGATTAATTGTGAGTAAAATTAATCGTGATTAATGATGCAACTCATGAAATTTATTGTGATTAATTAATTTTTTTTCCAATTTATCGCCCCAGTATTTACTCAGGTTGTCATTGTTGATCTGAAATACTAAAGTCCAAACTGAAGGAAGCAAGTATTTTTCACATTTTTTTAAATCGTTTAACCTATAATGAGTATTTTACATAAATAAAACCATGAACGGTTCTTATTAAATCCTCCCGGTTGGCTGTGATTGGAGGGATGTGTGATATCTCTGTGGGGGAATCACGTTTCACAGCTTTATGAGACACTACCTACCTGCAGGTATTTTTGGGTTGTGAGGGCTATTAAAGCAGAGATTACTGAGATAAATGCAGGATGGCATAATGTTTTGTCAGCGATCTGCATTAGATGATCTGATAATCTGCTTTTGAGAGGCCCTGGGAGTCTTAGAGTCATTATTAATAATGCTGTACAGCACTGATGGATCGGTGCACACCACCTCATCCTCTCCTTTAGGTTTGTTCTCTGATCAGCCTCTTTTTGTCACCTCCACGTTACCGGGAATTGTCCATCAGACGGGATTAACTCACCCCGGGACAGATTTTCTCTCTTTTTCTCTAAATTGGAACTCCCCCTAGCTTTTTTCTCAAATTACGTCAACTAATTAAATTACTTGTGTGCTTTTCACCTGTTAGAAGCTGGAACAGTTAATGATTTGTTTTCCTGATACAATCATTTTGATCAGAAGCTTAATTAATCATATTCCTCTAAGAAACTTTGGAGCCCTTTGATGTTGGATCGTTGTCACATTTCTGTAATCTGTAATCCCTGTAACACAGCCTCCTCTCTTCTTTCCCCTGTTCTCTCCTCCCTTTTGTCCTTGCAGTTGCTGGTAAAACTGTGTCTGGAGTGTCTCATGTGGGCGGTGCTGTGGTTACCGGGGTTACGGCTGTGGCCCAGAAAACCGTGGAGGGAGCAGGAAATATTGCCGCTGCCACCGGACTGGTCAAGAAGGATCCAGCCAAGCAAGTACGAAAGAAACTCCTGATGCTACAAGGACTGGAGCGTGAAATTAATAATGTCCAAAGATTTCAAAGAACAATTGTCACACACAGTCCATGTTTAATTCTGTAATTTATTGTACACACATTCCAAACCAGTTAAATAATTTGAACCACTGCCTTTAAAAAAAAATATTGATAAAAATTCAAAGCATTGTAGACCTGAGGGTCAATGGAGCAGCAGCAACTAAAGTCAGAAACTTTAGTCATATTTTATTTATTCAAAAATCTTAACTGTCAGAATAAGAAAATTGTTTTATGTTCTACTAAATATGTGGATTTTATAAGTTAGTGCACATTTATTTCAAAAGGGGCTCCACATAAACAGCTGCTTTATTTCTCTTGTAAACCATTTGCACACATCTATTTCAGCTTTATTCTGGTGTAACAGTGTGTTACGTCATATATACTGAAATGCTGCCACAGTGATGCAGATGTGTCAGCACAGGTCAATGTGATGCTATGAAATCACCAAAAACCTGGAAACATCACAGTACCTACTATGGATTTCTGATATTATACTGGCATTAAAATGTAATCTTAGAAATTATCTATATTGGCTTTTACTCTTTTAATGACACAGCTTTTACGTACCATGCACATATTATACATGAAACTCTTCAGCTTTTTCTACTTCCACTCAAAATGTCACAGATCTGAGGTATATTTTTGAGATATTTTGTTAGTTTGGCTTGGTTGTTAGGATTATCTCAGGGAGAATGTGATTCAGCTAGAGACAAAACTAATATATATTTTTTTATTCCTAACTTCAATGGAAATAGCTTCCATGTCTTGCATAAATAGGTTTAAGTATGGATAGGAGGTATGTGAAGTTAGTTACCTAAAATAATTTTGTATTTTGTTAAGAGACCATTGGTCAGCAGTAGCTCAGGAGGTAGAGCAGGTTGTGGAAGGTTGCAGGTTCGATCCCGGCTCCTGTCAGATCATGCTGCTGTTGTGTCCTTGGGCAAGACACTTAACCCTCCCTGCCTGCTGCTGGTAGTCGGAGGGACCGATGGCACCAGTGTTTGGCAGCCTCGCTTCCATCAGTGCGCCCTAGGACAGCTGTGTCTACATTGCAGCTCATCATCACCAGTTTGTGAATGGGTGAATGACTGAGTTGTGAAGCGCCTTGGGGGGGTTGTAGAACTTTTAAAAGGTGCTATACAAATACAGGCTATTTATAACTTCAGATATTGGTAAAAAAAAAAATAAGCTTTTACCGACCACTTCTAATACCAACATGTTTCCCGAAATTGCAATGACACTCATAACTGGAAAAAACTAAGGCACATATAGTGGTTTATTTTTCTTTCTTTTTTGCATTCTGTTGCATCAACAAATTTCTTCCATTAAAACTAATAATAATCAAATTTTTTATATTTAAGAAAAGTTGATTCAATGAAAAAAATGCAAAAACAGCCAATAATTAAGTCACTATGAAAATAAATACCCCATCAATTTATGCTTCATTTACTGTATTGCATCATTTTCTCAGAGATCTTTGATCCAGATCACCAAACAGGGCTCTTAGGGAAACTAGGATTGTTTCTGTAGAATGTTCTAGATAGTATTTGTGATTGCAAACAATAACACACATGCATTTGCATTAACTTACATCCTGCTATAGTTGAAACTAGCTTATAATAAATATTGTAATGACCTGGCTGGGGTTGTAAGCCAGGTGCATTCTGGGTATTGTGTTATATGTGTTTCCTATCGTTCTGCTAAGTCCTATGTGTTGATTTCCGTGTTGTGTGAGTGTTATGTTAATGTAAGCCACCGGGAAGGTGATGTGTGTTCTGTGGAGCGGGTTGAATTAGCGTGGTTAACTGACACCGTGACTCTGTGTGGTAGGAGCGTGATAGAGGATCGGTGTCTGTAGCGTTACAAAGCCTGGAAGAAAAAGCCTACTAAAGGTCTGTGTGAACCTCTACTGCCTCCTGCTGGTTGATTTGGGGACTATAAACCCGCTGCTAAGATGATCGGGGTCTCTACAATATGTTACACTATATGTATAATCTGTGATTAATCACAGTTAATTATGATTAATCACAATTAATTGTACTCACAAATAATTATGATTAATGATGCAACTCATAAAATGTATTGTGACAAATTATTTTCTTATTTATAGCCCCAGTATTTACTCAGGTTATCATTGTTCATCTGAAATACCTACAAAAAAGTCCAAATTGATGGAATCAAATACATTTTGCCTCAGTGTTTGAATGGGAATGAAATTATTAATGGACTTTTCAGAGGTGGCTGTCAGGAAGAAGGTTTAATGTTTGTTTGCTGACATGTTTGTGATGAAGATTTAAGCAGGCTGGTTGTTGTGATGCTGCGATGGACTGGCAGTCTGTCCAGGGTGTACCCCGCCTGATTGCCCATTGACCGCTGGAGATAGGCGCCGGCCCCCCACGACCCTACGTGGACAAAGCGGGTTCAGTAAATGTGATGGATGGATGGATGGATGGATGGATGGATGGGTTGTAGTGATGGAGATGAGATTAGTGACACAGTGGCAAATCTGAATAAACTAATCGCAAAAGCACTGGGGTTATGTTTGTGAGATAGTTCTCAATGGAATCCCCCTGCTGCCTGATGAATCCATAGAGTTTGGTATGAAAACCAAAGGTGTGCACGCTCACTTGAGATCAGGTCCAAACTTGAGCACCTGATTTTTGGATTTATGGGAAGTGCATGTGCAGGTGGTTGTTCCAAGAGACCGTCGGGCCCAGACTTCCTTCTCTCCAGCAACTTGGGCCAGCTCCTCTGGAGGAATCCCAAGGCGTTCCCTGGCTAGGCGAGAGACATAGTCCCTCCAGCGTGTCCTGGGTCTTCCTTGGGGTCTCCTCCTGGTTGGACATGCCCGGAAAACCTCACCAGGGAGGCATCCTAACTAGATGCCCGAGCCACCTCAAGTGGCTCCCCTTGTTGTGGAGGAGCAGCGGGTCTACTCCGAGCCCCTCCCTTATGACCGAGCTTCTCATCCTATCTCTAAGGGAGAGCCCAGACACCCTGCGGAGAAAACTCATTTCAGCCACTTGTATCTGTGATATCATTCTTTTGGTCACTACCCAAAGCATGTGACCATAGGTGAAGGTAGGAACGTAGATCGACCGGTAAATTGAGAGCTTCACCTTCTGACTCAGCTCTCTCTACCCAACTACAGACCTGTACAATTCCTGCAGTACTGTAGACGCAGTAACAATCCAAATATCGATGTCACAAACCATCTTTCCATCGTCTACATGGGGCAAGACCTCTTCCCTGACCTGGAGAAGACTTTCAACCCTTTTCCAAATTCAAGACCATGGTCTCAGATCTAGAGGATCTGATTCTCATCCCATCCGCTTCACACTGGTTTTATCCAGACACACACATAAATTGTCTGCACGAATCCAAAACACACCGTCATTTTGCAGCACACGACACATTCCTCCATTTCTCAGAGTCAGTGCAGGCAGGCTCTTTGCTATGTTAAAAATGGCTTCCTGACCTTGAGTCATTTGTCATCACTTTTCATATCTGCTGTGTGTCTGAAAGTTGTTACATACAGCTAGCTTCTCAGTCTTCATCAGTCAGCCTGGCCTTCATTTTTCACAAAAAAGGGGAGGAGGAGGAGGCAAAGGCAGTTAATCGTAGCAAACATTTACTGTTGAGACACAAGTCCAACATGAAAAATGGCTCTTTTTGGATCCTCTCAGAGGCTTCTTTAATTCTACATTATGTCTATGTTCTTCTCTTTTATTTAACCAGAACCAATTCAACACAATTAAAGTATTCAAATAACTGTTTACATTTGTTATGTCATAATGGCATGTTGGAGGAGCCTCCGAATACTTTAGGTCATTAAAAGGGAAAATCAAACAAAAACAACTCAGAATTTCCCAGATTTTTTTATTTTTGCACACATTAAGCTGACCAGTAAAATTATTAAAGAATTAAAATATTAAAGGAGCTGTTTGAGGAGAGTAGTGATATTCTGTGGCAAGGCTGTAGACCTGCCTTTTGGTTGCCATGGAAACATGGCTGTAAATATGGCGGAGATTATGGAAACTGACCTGTGTCCTAAATATTTTTGTCAATCTACCTAAGCTAGTTATTTTACATGATTTTGTGGTCAGGGATGTTATATTTCTATCATTAAAGCTTTTGTTATGGAGGCACAGAACACCAGTAAAAACAGAAATAACGTTAAATAAAAGACTGATGTGGAACAGGAAACTTCTAAATTCAATTCAATTCAGTTCAATTCAAAAATACTTTATTAATCCCAGAGGGAAATTGATTGCTATAGTAGCTCAGAATAATAATAATAATCAAGTCATCAAAGAGTTATTATATATTACAATGACTGTTGGCAGGAAGGATCTCCAGTAGCGGTCAGTGTTGCAGCCAAACTGAAGAAGCCTCTGACTGAAGACACTCTTCCGTTGTCGGACAGTCTTGTGAAGAGAATGCTCAGGGTTGTCCATAATTTTCTTGATTCTCTGGAGAATCCTTCTTTGCATTATCTTCTCCAGCGGTTCTGAAACTGCCGAAACTCTGGCTGAGTCCTTGAAAGGGCTTGGAGTTCCTCATCTTGTTGGCCAATGATCTCACATTGCCCATTATGATCGATGGAAGAGATGGTTTGAAATTCCTCTTTCTCTGTCTCCGTTTTGCTCCCGCTCTGCACCCACGCTTCTTGCCTTTTAGCTCATTTGGGATTTGTGGCTTCAGTTGAGGTATTATTTCAGCCTTTCCTATGTTAATCAGCTGCTCCCGATTGTAAACCAGCTTGCTGCCATGGTTATGCATCATAACAAATGCTCAAAAAGTGAAAAAAAGCTAAAAATAGCAGTAAAAATCCTCCAAGCTTCACAGCACCACATAAAAGTAAAATGTCCAAAAAATACTGTATTTCTTGAGAAACTAGAAGAAAAAATGCCCAAGAAAAGGCAAAACTTACATATAGTCAACAGAGCAACTCCAACATGCAGCCACCCAGAGCAGCGCAGTTCCGGAAAAAGATTAAACACAAAATAGAGGGAGACAACCCAGGGAAGTAAGGAATGAGTGAACACACAGTGAGGAGGAGGATGATTATTGCGTGGTGGAAGATCAAACACAGCAGAAAATGTTAAAACCAAAAGGAAAATTTCTAAATAAAAATTCAAGAAAAGAAACAAAATAATGGTAAACTACAAAGAAAATAAGCAAAATAAAAGGAAACTGAAATAAAACCATTTTGAGATATTAGTCATAATATATCTGTATTTGTAGCATTACTGATGATATCTGTATCAGAGAGTTGAAAGAGAGGGCTGTTCCAGGAAACAGGTAATGTAAATTATCCCTGAGTTCAGGGAATCTGTGTTCACAGTTCCAGAAAGCAAGTATCTCTGAGTCTATCACCATGGCAACAGAACAAAACCAGCTTCCTGGCATGTTTTAGACAAGTAATCTGGAGTTTCTTTATATGCAGTCCAACTGATGTTAAAGTAGGAAACCTTCATAATTCATGATGTTGAGTAAAGAGGTTCTGGCTAGATTAGTGAGACTGACTTAATTCATCTCAGCTACATTATCAAATATCACACTCACATCAGACCAAACAGTGTTTCTTCCTGGTAATCTGTTTACAAATTAGTCATTTAAATGTTACCATAGACCCGACTGTTGTCCACAGATGAGTGGTTCCAGTGTATTAAAAAAAAGAACTGTGTGCAATACACCTTTGTCTTTATTTTACAATATATCAATTAAAGTGACGGTGTTTATTTTCCCTGGCAATAGGGGGCAGTACATACCTAAATCGTTGCAAGCAAGCGGTTTTGTGTTCAAGTAAGACCTTACCAACGGATGGCCATTAGGGTCAAAAATCCTTGGGACCACAACCTCCAGCAAATTGACAAACATATCAGACTCCCTTTTTAATCACTGGCAACAAGTGAGGAGGTAAATGTGTAAAACAACAACATTTATGAATGGTGAAAGTTTTATAACTGCTTGTTACAAATCAGAAAATGTGTTTTGGTCTCACAGGTTCACGGAAACATGGCGTCTAATATGGCGTCGCCCAGAGACTTAGACCTTTTATGGTTATATGCTACGACGCCCCCGATATTTTTCAACACCTGGGCATCATTTCATTTTCAACAACATTTCGATGGAAATTTCCAGTAATTAATGGTAGAAACTGCCCATTGTCTCTTTTATCTAATAGTTACAGTGGTTGAAATGTTTTTGAAATGGTGTTTGATTGACCCTCTATGAAGATTTTTGGAGTTTTACAACTCGCTATGGAGAGCCAAAATGTACCACAACAGAATGTTAAACAGTTTTTTCAATTAATTAAAATTGGAATTAAATTCTTAACCCTCCTGCTGTCCTATTGGGTGACCCCTCCAGGAAAGATGACCACTGAGCAGGTTTGATAGGGATAAACCATCAGGTTTTCTTGAAAATGTCAGACGTAGTTACTGTTTACACTCTGTGAGTGAGACTGCTGAATCTGTGCCAAGCTGACACTGTAACACAGACATTGGTAATTTGACACCGGCAGGCAAAAAGCTCCAGAGCTGTGTAAGAAACCATTTACCCATTTATCTGGGTTAATAAGGTGTTAAAATGAACATAATCCCTTAGGGTGCCCTAAATGTGGCTGTAATTACCCTCTTGTTACTGTTTGGAGGAACAGGAAAAAATAACCTGATCGCAAACTTCCGGGAGGCAAGGTAAACACCATTTGTTTGTTAAATCCATCCCTTAATTAGCAACATTAAATCCCAGGGAAATGCATCACAGCAATTAAAGAACTGTTTGCATCACATTTCCTTATTTGGGCTTCCAGTGGAGTTCTTAAACAGATGCAAAACAAATCCTCAGCTCTTCTCTCGCTCATTTAACCCTTTTTATCTAAAAAAATGACTTAAATCATCCCACTTTTAAAGCATTTGTCCTGCTTTCAGCTGTGAAGGAAAACGGTAACACTGATGGATAAAATTAGGAAGAAAAATCCGCCTCGTTATGAGGCGCACTGACAAATTTTAAACAAATAGAACCTGATTCTTAGAGAGACAGCATGACTGAGCAGATTGTCCTCATTCAACCATCATTCTCAGGCGGCTCAGAGCCATTAAGCACCATTATTATTAATTCAGTTTAAAAATTAATGCCAGGTGCTGAGAGACGTCCTTCAGCGACTCTCTCTCTCTCTCACACACACACACACACACACACACACACACACACACACAAGGCGCATCCACCGAACCACGATGCTTCGATGTGATTAATCTGCTCGTCTGTTCCACCGTTTCATCAGTCACCGGTGACTCGTTGTCGTGATACAGTGATGCCAGAAAGGTATGAGGACAAAGATAACGTTAGAGGAGCGTATCGATGGTATGAAATGGTGGAGAGAACAGAAAACAGATAAAGAATCTAACAAATATGTTTCTTGTCCTGTGGGACAAATTCTGCTCAGAATTGTCCTGAAACATTTTTGTGAAGGTTCCTAGAAATACATCAGGTAGTTTTTTTCCCCCCTGATTCTGAACAAATCTTAGAGGTTTGATGTACTGGACTGTGTCTTTGTCTTGTCCCACACACATACACACACACACACACACACACACACACACACACACACACACACACACACACACACACACACACACACACACACACACACATGGTTCTGTCAGGTGAACAGATGGACATTTGGACCAGTTTATGCATGACCAGGAGCTCATGTGAACACGCTGTGACCAGTCCTCATTAAAGAAGGTCAGATCAATGACACGGTGTAATCAAGACGAGACAGGAGACACGTCACTTCTATTTTTCATCAGCACCTTGTCTCTCATTCCAAGGCCGTGTCAGTGACCACTGACTGTAATGAAAGGTTTAAATCTCCCATAAACTCAGCCAACTCATCGTGTTTTCATTCTTTTGTCAAATGGCTTAAAGGTCTCTCATGCACAGATTTTATAGACGAGTGTCTGCAGGTTTTATATAAAATGTTGATATAGAATAAATATTTGTTGTTGAGATAGTGGATGATGCAAGATAATACGTGCTATGTCAAATTTGCATGCTAAAAAAGAAAGAATTGAATGTTTGTTTGTGTTTTTCAGGGCGATGAAGCCTCAGCAGTACCAAATGTGGCAGAGTCACTGGTTGATACGGATTCTGCTGAGCCCACAGAGGTGAGACACACAATCACACACTTCCTACTGCGCTGACGCTACGCTAGTTAGCCAACACATAAATACCACACCCACCCCTTTATGAGGATCACACCTAGTCACTTTAGCTCTCATTTTGTAAAATACTTATCTATTTTATAACTGACCGATAATGCTGGGCTTAAGTATTCAATTATCATCTAACAATAGGTGGCATGAGGTTTGATCTTTGTAAGGGCACAGAGTGACTTTCAGCTCAGCGTGACAGCAGCCAGAGGTCATGAATAAATGATGCAGGTGGGCGGGGTCGTCGCACCTCAGCTTCAGTTTCAGAGATGTCACATCAGCATGCCGGGAGGTGACCACTGCCCAGGAAGTTACATCACACCTGTTGTATTTTTTTCTTTTTCTCCTTCAGGAGGACAGCGATGACTAACCAGCCTCAGAGCTCCAGAGATCAGTGACCGAAACATTCCATGTCGCTCTGCCAAGTCCCGTCGTGCCTCGTTTTCTGGTCCGTTATGGAGTCTGTGCTCGCTGTCTGTGTTTCTGTTTGTGCCGCTCGGTCTGTGTTTACAGTATAAGTGTGTGTGTGTGGTTGTGTATGCATGTGTGTGTGTGTGTGTGTGTCCCTTGTCAGCGGTGTGGCTATGTCAGTAACACAACCATGGGAAAATATAACAATCTACCAACACCTAAGTGTCTCTTTATAAACAAACACAAACACTGATGTTTGTACTGGAAGCAGAATTATCATTAACTTTCTTTGTGTGTTTTTGTAATAGACTGTAAGTGCTGAGTTTTTTTTTTGTGCGTCCATATTGTGTTTTTTACCCTGTAAACTACAATTCAGCGTTACTGCTTTGTCATGAATTTATTTGGATTCAACCGTTGAATAAAATACGTTAAGAGTGGGTGAAATATATTTCAGGAATTTGTATAAAATGATGTTTGTCTGAGAAACTATATGTTTACTTTACACTAGTGTGCTAAAAAACTAAATACTGTATCTTTTCATTTCCAGTTTCTCATTTTTAAAAATACACCAGAAACTTCAACAAATTACACACCTAGTATATTTAGACTGCTAAGGCTATAAAATGAGAGTGTTACATAAAATGATTCATATCTTGGTTTTTCAGCATATTTTTAGGTAAGAAAAATGGTGATGATGTTGCAAACGTTGCTGCCGTATCTTAATAGGCCACTAGGGGGAATCAAGCTTGTTGACTGGATATTCATGGGGCATCTACACCATGGTCAGCTGGTAGGGTCAGCTCATTTACACTGGCGTGCATTGTTCATGCAAATCTGGACTCTTTTTTTTCCAGCCCGGTCCGTTTCATGCTGAGTCAACCATACACACCCAATATGGACAATTTGCAGGCTGAAACTCTGTAACTCTCATGCCTGTCTACAAGTGAGAGCTTCTGATTGGCGCAAGTTCCCAGATGTTTAAGTCACTGACAATCTGGATGCAGCGGGGTAAGCATCTTCTATGACTGCAGCTCGGACCGCACGGAGCTGCAGGGCACGTTTGTGAGAAAACTCTGCAACCATTGGCTTAAGTATTCAATATTTTTTTTGAATAATGACAACAACTCAAAAACAGCTATTCAGAAATGGTTCCTGTCGATTAAAACAGAATTTTATTTAGTTCCAAAATGTAACTATATACTATACTATATATGAGTTATCTATCTCAATGACAAGAAAACATTTTTCTTAGAATCTTTTCTTAACTTCACATACACGCATTCAGAGGCAGGTTCCACATGTAGAATAAAGCTATATTATCACAAAAAATAAATCTGTTATTATTATTGTTGTTTAGGCTCTCCTCTCAGCGGAGGGGCCACAAGGTGGTTTAAGCTTGCTGTCAGGGTGGCTCTGGCCCACCCTGGACCCCCCGAACTGCCCCTCATTAAATTCACTGTTCACGCAAGAACAGATTTATTTATCATTCACCTGCCACTTTATTAAGAACACCTGTTCAGTCTCTTGTTAACATAATTATATTTAATCAGCCAATCAGATCGAAGCAGCTCATCACAGAGACAAAGAACTAGTCTCACCCTCTCACCCAGGGATGTTTTAGGGTTACCAGTGAATCTAAGCATGCATGTTTTTGGTCTGTGAGGGGAAGCCAGAGCTCCTGGAGAAAACTCCATGCATGCATGAGGACAACAAAAAGTAAAACTGCAGCCAGGATTCAAACCTGCAACCTTGGCCTTGGACAACTGTGGCGACAGGGTTCAGATGAATGTTGTTAATCTCACTTTCAGGACATTATTTTAGACATGCTAATAATCCAGCCAGCAGCAACAGGAGTAAAGATGAGTGGATGAAGCAGGCTGGCCTTGGTGTGATGCACGAAGAAAGAATCAATGATGTTTTTCTCTTTTGCTTCTTTATTTTTATTCAACAGGCGAGCAGAAACAGCTCTTTAAGACCTCCAGGACATCACCAGCTGCAAACTGGTGTTTGTTACTCTGAACATCTGTCTACATATGCAGCAAATGTTCAGGTTTGACCTGAAATAACCAAGAATAATAAACTGAAACAGTCTCAGTACACCAACAGGAATTAAACGGATTTCCTCGTTTACTCCATGACTCCAGGCTGAACCAAAGTCCTGTTTTTATTTACATGCATGTCAGCAGCTGGACCATCCTGCTCTGACTCACTGTTGCTCCGGTTAGCCCACACAGAACTGAGGCAGCAGCTTGAGCCGTCACATGTTCAGTACCAGCTGAGCCACAGCTTCAGTGCTGACATATTGAACTTGAATCACACAACTACAATGGTAGCTATGGAGTGGTCAGAAATACAGTGGGATGCAAATGTTTGTACATCCTTGTTAATCTTCTTGATTTTCCTGTATAAATAGTTTCCTGTATTAATGTCAGTTAAATTTAGCATATAGGAGACACACACAGGGATATTTGAGAAGTGAAATAGTTTATGGGATTTACAGGAAGTGTGCAAAAACTGTATAACCCTAAACCTCCCACTGTCCTGATGGGTGTGACCCCACGAGGACAGTTGACCATTGAGCAGGATTGATGGTTTATCACTTGGGTCCGTGTGGCAGGGGTGAGGACCACCTCACTCCTGCCACGTGGACCTCAAGGGATAAACCATCAATCCTGCTCAATGGTCAACTTTCCTCGCTTGGTCACCCATGAAGACAGAGGGAGGGTTAAACAAAATTAGGCAGGTGCATAAATTTGGGCACTGTTGTCATCTTATTGATTCGAAAACCTTTATAACTAATTATTGGAACTAAAAATGGTTTGGTAAGCTCTGTGACCCTTGACCTCCATACACAGGTGAATCCAGTAAGAGAGTATGTAAGGGGCCAATTGTAAGTTTCCTTCCTCTTCTAATTTTCTCTGAAGAGTAGCAACATGGGGTCTCAGAACAACTCTCACATGACCCGAAAACAGATTGTTCACCATCATGGTTTAGGGGAAGGATACAGAAAGCTGTCTCAGAGATTTCAGCTGTCTGCTTCCACAGTTAGGAACATGTTGAGGAAATGGAAGACCACAGGTACAGTTCAAGTAGGGCTCCAAGTGGCAGAACAAGACAAATCTGGGATAAATAGAAGCAAAGAATGGTGAGAACAGTCAGAGTCAACCCACAGACCAGCATTAAAAACCTACAACATCATCCTGCTGCAGATGGAGTCTCTGTGCATCGTTCATCTACTCGGTGCACTTCACACAAGGAGATGCTGTATGTGAGAGTTATGCAGAGGAACCCTTTTCTCTGCCCACAGCACAAACAGAGCTGCTTGAGGTTTGCTAAAGCACATTTGGACTAGCCAGCTTCATTTTGGAATAAGGTGCTGTGGACTGATGAAAGTAAAACTGAACCATTTGGGAATAACAAGGGGTGTTACACATGGAGGAAAAACACCTGCTAACTACAGTAAAGCATGGTGGAGGTTCCATCATGCTGTGGGCTGTGTGAACAGTGCAGGGACTGGGAATCTTGTTAAAGTTGAGGGACGCATGGATTCCACTCATCTGCAGATTCTGGAGACCAAAGACCAGGAATCAGCAGCAAAGCTGAAGCTGCACCGGGGCTGGGTCTTTCAACAAGACGACTCTAAACACTGCTAAACATTTACTAAGGCATTCATGCAAAGGAACAAGTAGAACATTCTGGAATAGCCATCTCAGTCCCCAGACCTGAATATTATTGAAAATCTGTGGTGTGAGTTAAAGAGAGCTGTCCATGAAACCTCAGTGAACCAGAGATGTTTTGTAAAGAAGAATGGTCTAAAACACCTTCAACCAGAATCCAGACTCACTGGAAGCTATAGGAAGTGTTTAGACGCTGTTATTTCTGCAAAAGGCAGATCTGCTAAATATTGAGTGCATTTATGCACCTGCCTAATTTTGTTTAAACAACTATCACACACTTTCAGTAAATCCTATAAACTTAGTTTCACTTCTCAAATGCCACTGCGTGTGTCTCCTATACTGAAATATTTACCGCAAAATCAAACAATTTAAACAGGAAAATCACAAAGATTTAGCCTAGTGAACTAGACCAAAATCTTGCTTTGCATTTATTTGGTCTGGCTTGCCCGGCTAATGAAGATAAACACTGACCAAACCTTCACATCCCGCTGTAAAACCTGCAAAAACCTGCTGGGTCCATTCAGAACCAGCTAAAGCCCGATCCACACTCCAGACTCAGGCTGACTGGCTTTTCATTCTGAAATGTTTAATACAATATTGTTATTCTATGAAGTTCCCACTCACTCACCTAACCCTCTATGCCAGTAGGGTTACTGGGACATGGTGCCTATTTCCACCAGTGATTAAGGGAGAGATGGGGGACACTCTGGGCATGTCCATTACAGGGGACAAGATAAAACAACCAGGAACTTGTTTAGGGTTGAGGATTAGCCTAACATGCGTGTTTGTGGTCTGTGGGAGAAAACCGAGCAAACTAACTCCACACACAGGCTGCAGCGGGATATTGAACAATTTAAACTAACAGCCAACAGTAAAGCTTACAAATTTTTACTTTTATTCCCACAAAAAAAAAAAAAAAAAAAAATCCCAACAACACAGAATGAATAATATTTTGTAACAGCTCTTGGATATAAATAAATTAGTCCTTATACTTAATGACACATCCGTGTCCTCAAAGGTCATATTACCCCAAATCCTTGATATCAAGTTCAAACCCCCGTCTGCAGTAGCGGATGGCTGCTTGAATGGAGCCAGGTTCTAGTGGAGGTTTCCTCTCCACTGTCGCTGCATGCTTGCTTAGTACAAGGATTGCTGTGAAGACACTGACCTTTAATTGGCATAATAAACTAACTCAATGCACTGGTGAGTAGGTTCAACTGGAATGTTTGTTGCTCTTGTTGCTATCTAAATAAACTGAATGGAATGATTTGAAGAAGAAAAAACAACTAGAAACCAGTTTGATTTGAGGAAAAACGATTCTGGTTTTTGTCATGGTGTGAATATTAGCTTTAGGGAAATTGTCATTTTAAGGGTTAAAATCCTAAAACTGCTTGAATATTTGGTACGTTAAAGGAGGCTGAAGTTGGTTTACAGATCTAAAATTATATTTAGTTTGAATAAATCGAAGTGGTTGTATTATGTAAATGTTCTATTAATTCATTAATGAAAAAAAAATGTCACAAAAGTCCTCGTTACCAAGCATCGTGCCATGCAGACTTCCCTTAAGTAACAAGCAGTTTGACCACATGGACAAAAATGCCCAGAGTGATGCCTGAAAGCTGTGGATGAAACACGAGTAACCAAAGTGTTTACACCGCCCCTTGTACTTGAGCACATCATCATCCTGAGTAACATGCTGGCCAACACATCTGTTTCCACGTCACACTCATGTAGAATATCCAACACAGCGGTGCGCCATCAGCCAGCATGAAGCCACAACACAAGAAAGAAGTGACACGCATTTAAAAACACGACTAACGCTTTATTCCAATTGGGATTTGCTTTGTGAGTCCATGAGAAGAGTGAAGGACGATGAGCCTCGGAGGAGACTAGGACTTCCTCTTCTTCCTTTTCAGGGCTTTCCATTCTCCCTCCTGAGAGGCCAAACTGCCAAGGAGCACCTTCACCTTCCTCTTCCTCTCTGCATCCCTGAAACACACAATGGGGTCACGATTAAGCAGCAGAACCTTAAGTCCACATCCACACAGAGGTTGGGTTTTCTCCACACCTGTTCATGACCTCGCTGAGCTTTTCTCTGGCCAGGAAGCGCGAGTCCTTCCTAATCTCTCTCAGAGCACCCTTAAACTCCTTCTTGTACTTGTGCTTCAGTCGCTCCCTCTCCCGCTCCTCTCTGGTGCTGCCGCGCTTCTTCCCATAGTCCAAGCTGGTAAAAGAAAAAAGGGTTAATCGCACGGATGCAGCCACGCCCACCACCTGCTGATCTGGGAATGAGCCTTACACTTCAACAATCTTTGGTGTGAGCAGTTTCAGGGGAATGGGCTTCTTCTTCTCAAAAACCAGCCTGCTGTGGGTCAGAGGGGCTTCCTTCAAGCAGTCCAAGATCTCACTGTGGAACTTCTAGAAACAAAAGACTCTGATCAGCTGGAGGAAAAAAACAGCACACAGGACAAACAGCTAAATGTGATCCATTTTCTAAAACACAAACCTGTAAAGGTTTTGGTAAAGTTTGTGTTAAAAGATGCTTAGAAAGAAGAGCTCTGATTGGCTGAAAGACATGTATAAAGGAGGGGAGGTCCTTGTAGAGCAGGCAGCATCTCTTCACCAGGTCCAGACAGGTGGACAAGCAGTTCAACCTGGAATCAGAATAAAAACAAAAAGCTGTCAGTTGTTAATCACACTTTGTTCTGTAAACAGGTCCGTGCTGTTCTCACCGCATGCACTAAAAACAAATGACCTCCACAGCTGTGCAGAGCGACGGAGTTCAGAACCAACAGCTGATCGCCAGTTCCATGTGTCTTGTGGGGACCGGTCATTGAATTCCATTCAATGACATAACCTCAACTAAGGTTCTTTCACACCATCTCTCTAAGAACAGCTATCAGGGTTTTTTTCTTTTACAATGAGGAGAAAAACAGTCGTCCTCTCAATTTCAAATGTCCCTAAATTACAGGTCAACAAAAATTGTCCCCACAATTGAGTGCGCGCACGCACACGCACACACACACACACACACACACACACACACACACACACACACACACACACACACACACACACACACACACACACACACACACACACACACACACACACACACACACACACACACACACACACACACACACACACACACACACACACACACACACACACACACACACAGGATTTGACAAGTATCTGTTAGACAGCCGGTTGATTAGTTATCAGTAAAGTAAGCATTTGTTTTTACAGAAATATGCTAGTAAGCTAAATATGGGTGTGAAATGAAGTTAAATAGAAACACTGATTAAATCCACGTAGTCGGCTCAAGTTTCATCACTTAACACCAAAACTTTTTAAATGATAAATGACTCGCACTTGATTAGCTAGCTCTCGTCAGTCAGACGACTCCAGAAGCTTTACACCAAAGTGTTTTTAAACACTTCTGGGGGACTTTCAGGTGGTTTAATTGGATGTTTGCTGTAATGATTTTAGTTGAGAAGTATACGCTCTCACAAAGTGTGCACGACAGTGCTCTGCTGAAGCTGTTAGCGAGCTTAGCTTTGTGCCCACACACCAGCTGCTGTGTGAAAGCATGCTGACAACTCAGGCTCCTCATGAGAGGACGCTCTGAAACAAACACGTTGTGTGTGTGTGTGCATGTGTGTGCATGCGTGCGTGTGTGTGTGTGCGTGCGTGCATGTATGTGTGTGTACACAGGTAAACACTGACTGAGGCTGATTATATGGGGCCAACTTGCAGCAGCCTAAAGCAGCTGGCTGAAGACAAAATAAACAGAAAGTGTATTTTTCTTATCCATACCCATTTTAATCTGAATTATTTTGCTGAAACTCTCTAAGTAACGCGTCAACCGCCCTCTCCAACCACCACGCTGGGACACTCGTTGAATCTTCACATGCTATTTTTAAACGCTCAGCTGTTAAAGCTTGTAGTGAGTGATATAATCACAAATGTTTCCACTAATATGATGAGAAGGCAAGAAAAAATCTGAGCTTGATGGAACTCTAAAGAAGAAAATGAAGACAGAAAACAAATACTAAATACACAAAAGAGCACAGATTTCATGCTGCTCACAAACAGGAAGTAGATGAATGACACTTCCTGTTTCACTGCTAGTCTTTTTAGTGACAAACGGTGTACAGGCTAGTGTCCACGAATCATGATAAAGTTTTTAAGAGTTTTAAATTATTTAAAATGAACCGTTTTAGCAATTGCTAACAGAGCTAACATCATATTTGTACCCATTTTAGAGCTTCCTCGAATCTCGGGTACTTCATCACAATGGTGTTTTCCCTACATAGTTTATTTAATAACCCCATGAAATTACAATTTCCTCTTCTCGGCGCCATGCAATTGCAGTCATGTATAATGGGAATGTTACATTTAAAAAGAGGAGCAAATGTTATTTTATTTAAAACTCCACATTTTAAATTTGAAAGGAAATAAAGAAATAATTGAAAAAACAAACAAAAAAAACCATGGGGATCGTTAGAGTATTTAATGTATTACTCTTTTAAATGTTCCTTTTTAAGTAATCATATGTTAATCCACATAGTTCTCTCCTCTTCTCTCTTGCTGTGGTATGTGGCCTGATAAGCATGGGGATTGGGGAATGCTGTGCCTGACCCCAGGAAAGCTAGCAGGCTGAATGAGTCAGCAGTTTGTACCTGCTAGCAGCCACCCCTGTAACTTGAGACCTCCTTTTTAGAAGGTCCCGCCTTAGATAGAAGCAACAGTGTTATTGGTTAAGTGTGGACAGTGATAGATTGTTCTTTGTCCTTGTTTCCCTGTGTTTCAATAAAACCAGCTGGAGAGAGGAGGTGCCAGAGAGTTGATAGGAACAGGGCCTAAAACAGGTTCTGAGCCAGTCTCTCTCTGCTGCCTCTCGCAGTGTATAAAACCTACCGACTTCTCTACTGTGTGGTTCATTTCAGGCTATAAAAATACCCAAAAGGGATATAATGTTGCATTTATTCGACAGTTTTTATTGATTTTTATATTTCCATCCAGACTGCAGTAGTTAGTTTTTATACAACTGAGCTAAAGGCAGATTGAAATCAGACTAATCAACTTCACGCTGGCACACTACGATGGTTCTGAATGTCTCTCCAAAAATCGGCAAGACAAACTCCTTCTTTGTTCCTTTTTTAAGTTCATTTCATTTGTTACCATGTGAGTCTCAGCCAAAACTTGTTGGCCCAAACTAATCCCAGACAGTCCTGCTGATTTTACTTTGTTGCCATGACAACATAGTAAAAGAGAGACTGATAGCCTAATGAAGTCTTCCACCCCACACCTACCTGTAGTGGTCTTTGTCCAGGTCACTCCTGGCATCCAGCTCCAGGCGAACGGACAGCGGGAGGCTTTCCTTGCTCCAGCTTTCGCAGCACTCCGAGGACGACAAAACCAGCAGATTGCTGTACTTCCCCGCCAGCCTGAAGGGTGGCACCAGCGTGTAACCTGTAATGCACATCAACACAAGTCAATTCTGTTCTAGATCAGAGCAAAACATTGGTGATTAACTTATGAACATGTGTAGGGAAGCCTGAGTGAAGGAAGCACCGAGAGATGTCTTGTCCTGCACGGCTAGATGGAGCGTTCCAGACAGGAAGTTGATGAGCTCAGGCAGGAAGCGCTTCGACAGCGAGACATACTCGACAGCCAGACAGCATAGAACCAGACCCGATGTCAGGTCCTGTAACGATCTCACAGGGCCCTATACACACATACACACACAGAGTTGAAAACAGTCTTATAAAGATAAACACTAATAAAGGTGGGATGCACTGCAAAAACACTTTTCAAATAACATTTTTTTAAATGCCTCATTTTTAGACATTTTGTTTCATCTTTAGTCTAAAAAGAAAAATTTGTCTCTAGACAAATAACCACCCACCATCCAGGCCAGCTGAGAGACATAGTCCCTCCAGCGTGCCCCGGATCTTCCTTTAGGCCTCCCCGGTTGGGTGCCTAAAATCCTCACCAGGGAGGCATCCTAACTAGATGCCCAAGCCACCTCAATGGCCGGATGACTGAGCTTCTCATCCTATCTCTACACCCAGCAGGTCTCTGAGGTCCAGTGACCAAAGCCTACTGGTTGTGCAACGCACCAGGCTTAAGACCAAAGGTGACAGATCATTTGCTGCTGTGGTCCCCAGACTCTGGACCTCTCTCCCCCTGAGCCTGAGATCAGTGGACTCAGTGGTCTCCTTCAAAAAGCAGCTGAAGACTCACCTGTTCAAGCTACAGGGTATCTGCAGGTTTAAGGGAGCCAAATTTAAGACTTTTTAAGACCTTTTTTAAGGCCACTTTGACCAAATTTAAGCTATTTTTTAAATTTAATTTAAGCTATAATTTCCAGCTATTGCCTGGAACCGGTGCTAACCACGTCGCGAACGTGGGATTAACCATCCAGTTACCATTAAAGTTGCCCTTCCCCATGGCGCAAGCTCCCACTAGCTTAACCAGCTAATGTTCTCATCTAAAAATAGCCCCCTTTCACAACCAACTGAACGTGCACGGTTCCGCTTACGCCAACATCACACACAAAAAATGCTGAAGACTAACTAGATATTCACGAAAATTTTATAGGAATAAAATAATCTTGTTTATTGGGTCTTTTAAAATTTAAGACCTTTGGAAACTGTATTTAAGGATTATTTGTCATTTTTAAGGATTTTTAAGGCCTTAAATTTGGAAAAGCAAATTTAAGACTTTTTAAGACTTTTTAAGGACCCGCGGATACCCTGAAGCTAGTTTTGGTGTGACCTTCATCACCCTCTCCTTGTTCTGCTCTCCCTACCTATTCCACCTTCCTCAGGATCCACTGATTTCCCTCTTTCATATTCACTCTCTCTTTCTTTACATTTTTTAATCACAATTGTCTATTTTTTTTGCTCATTTTGAATATATTTTTAATCATTTTCCAAGTTCTTTTTTATATTTTACATTTTGTGTTTTTGTGAAGCGCCTTGTGATTTTTATCTTGAGAGGCGCTATAGAAAAGATCTTTTCTTCTTCTTCTTCTTCTAAGGAGAGCCCAGCCACCCTGTGGAGAAAACTCATTTCAGCTGCTTGCATCCTCAATCTCACACTTCGGCCATTACCCAAAGCTTGTGACCATTGGTGAGGGTAGGAACGTAGATGGACCAGTAACTCGAGCCATTCCAGCTCAGCTCTCTCTTCACCACGATAGACCGGTACAATGCAGCACCAATCTGCCTATCGATCTCACGCTCCAGCTTTCCCTCACTCATGAACAAGACCCTGAGATACATCAACTCCTCCGCTTGGGCAGGACCTCATCCCTCACCTGGACAGAATTTGGAGTCTTATTTCCTGATATTTGGACATCTCGCCCCAGATTGGATAACAGCAACACAACTCTACCCCTGTTTTATCTCCACAAATAACACAAGCCTGGATGACTTCTGCCTTGAAGTTGCTAATGCTAACGGTTATCTTAAACGAGCAGAAACATCCACTGCTGATTACTGGACATTAAACCAACAACAGCCTTCCTCATTGTGAGTCAAGATGGGTGAGTCCATCAGTGCCAATTCACAGCGTGACGTAGATTTGTGAGGATTTTCAAGTTCTAGAAATTCACTGTGTTTTCTATCAGAAGCTAATGCAGCAGATAGGTGTAGGAGACTATTTTCATGTTCAGCCTGCATGAAAAGCTCAGTGACTGATAATAAAAAAAAAACATTTAAAAAATGTTTTTTCAGACAACCACACCTTATAAACTAGCAAAAGAATCTGAATTTTGATTTCTAGTTTTAAGAATTCTAGCCAAGTATATTTTGCTAGGATCATATTTAAGAATGTTTGCCTTATCTTATGTAATTCCATTTTCTTAAGAGAAAAATTTATTTTCTTAAGAATTGGACAAAATGTCTAAAAAACTAGTCTTTTTTTACTTTGTTAGAAACCAGTTTTGCAATGTGGTTACCTTGGTGAGGGCCTGGCAGATGAGGAGCAGAGCTGGAGTGGTAACTGGGTGTCTGAAATCGGAGGTGGGAAACAGCAGCGCCGTCACCTTCAGGTAGATCAGCTTCAAACACAAAAACAAAACAACCGTTCACCCAAACAAACCCGTCACAGAAGCCATTCTGCTTTCAGATTCTTCTCGTTTTTCAACAGAATTATCCACATTATGCTTTTTCCCACCATTACTCTGTCAAAAAGGTGCGTACCATGTCGAGAGTGGGGAAAGAGGCATGACCTTTGACCTCAAGCACCTCCTCCATGCTGTGGGCGGCATCTCCCAGGATGCTCTGCATGGCCTGGCAGGCAGCTAGTGGAAACATCTGGCACAACGTGTACAGCTCCCTTCAGGAACAGGAACGCTGGTCATTACATGGTGAAAGAGTGAACTACAAAAACAGAGATTTATGTTTTGAACTGACGGAATGAGTTTGTCCACGGTGGTGAGTTCAGGCGGACTCCGGGTTGCCAGTTCTCCGATGTACTCCAGCAGGAAACCAAACAGTTTCTAACGTGAACACAAAGAGAAGACCGTCAGCATTTAGAGCTAATGTAAGAAAAACCCACTGCTCCATGCTTACCTGCAGCTTGAGCTTGTTGCCCGCAGCTAAACTTGGATGGTTGCACTTCTGAGTCCTTGCCACAATGAGGCGCTGGTTTTCCGGGGTGTGACCACGAAGCAGACGTCTCAGGTCTTCGTAGCTCTCAGGAGCTAAAAGGAAAATAATAATTAGAGGCAGTGAAAGGCACACACGGCAGCAGCTAAAGAGAAACCCGACCTCACCGGGGAACGTGTACGGTAGTTCTGCTTTAGCCGCCTCCTGTTGGGCCTTCAGCTCCTCTCTGCTCAGACTTTGTTTGGGTTTGCTGCTCGTCTCCTCCTCACTTTCCTGCTCAGAGTCCAGGTCTGAGTGGCCATCTTCCTCCTCACTGCTGCACTCTTCCTCTTCCTCCTCACCTCCATCCGACTCCTCTTCCTCCTCACCTCCATCCGACTCCTCTTCCTCCTCGCCCTGCTCCTCTTCTAACTCTTCTTTCTGGTTTGCTTCTGTTTCCTTCCCAATGTTCCATTTTCCGTCCTTTAACCCAACATTAAAACACATTTAGAGGTAAAAGACTCGGATCAACACCTAACATGACCCAGGAGACCGTCTCCCACCTGATAGGAGAGGGTCTTCTTGTCGTGTTTATCCAGGATGAAGCCGTCATTCAGATCATCAGCAGACAAGTGGGCCGGTCGCTGCACTCCGTCCCCGCCGTCCTCTCCAATCATTCTCCTCAGACGGTCAGCCTGATCAAATAAATGTATATCAAATAAAAAACACAATTAATCTAGTAACTATGACACCTTCTCTGCACTCTCACCTCCAGCTTCTGCAGCTTCTCCTCCTCCTCCTTGGCCAGCTCCTCCGGCGACTTCATCCTCTCTGAGGGCTGAGCCTTCATCTCGAAGCCGAGCTCTCGGACCATCATGTCGTACTCCTCTAGCTGGGACGCACCAAAAGAAACAGAGATAAAGGAAACATCCGACAGCCACGGAGCAGAGAGGAACACCACGTCCCTACCTTGGGTTTCTCCTCCGGTTTGTCGGTCTGCTCAGATTTGGGTGTTTTCTTCACCATCAGAGCCTGGATGCTCTTCCACTCCTGATCCAGCTTCTCTGTCAGCTCCTGCGCCTCCTCCCTCTGTACCTGCCGCTCCCTCTGAGAGGAGAGCACAGCGCTAGTCCCGTGGGGATAAAATCTCTAGGAGAGCACTTCAATAACAGGGTTTCCCCCAGAAAATGAGTTAAGTCTGGCGGATTCGGCCATCAGATGGGGAAGTGGGGGGGGGGGGGGGGGGGGGGTTGCACACGCTCCTCTGCTGTTTCTCGCCAGTATCAGCTGATGGAGGGCTCTAGTTTTGTTGCGTCGTTCTTGTCAGCGGACACGGTAGGATCGGGGAGGGGGGCGGGGCAAAGCCTGGTGGGCCGCCAGGCTTATAAAGCGCTGGGCGACACCCTGAATAATTACCCCCGTTGCCAGCTCACCTTCTCCAGCTTGGACTTCTGGATGAGCTCCTCGATGAGCTCCTGCCTGGACTTGGCCCTCTGGTTTCCCTGCTCTTCCTGCTCCTCTGACGTCTTCTTCCTGAGGAGACCTCCACCTCCTCCAAAATGTGAGGCGGTCAGCTCAGCTAGAAGTGGAAAAAAAAAAGACAAAAACCCAACATGTTTAATTTTAGACGTCCATGACAGGAGATCGTTGGTGATTTTTCCAGCTCAGACTCACCGGATAAAAGCCCCTTCTCCTCTGATTCATCATCACTGTTCACGTTGTCGTTAAACTTCTCTATTTCAGCCAAAGACTGGCCGTAATGAGTCAGCTCCTCCTCCTCGTTCAGGTTGTACACGTCTTTCTTTTCATGAACACGCTACAAACCCAACAAGGTTTGAGTTCAGTGCCTCATAAGATTCAGTTTTACTTGTTCAGACAAAAAAAGCAAAAATCTCCACAAAATAAGCTAAAGCCGGCTGTAAATACACACCCCTCTCAGGTGGAACTCACCTGTCTTTCAATGGCAAACCTCTGCAGGATCTTGTCTTCTGGAGCCATCTTGGTGTCATATTCTCCAAATCGCCGATCGACAAATTTGTTGGCCTTGTTTTTTTGTTTGTATTCCTTCAGAAGAGTCTCTTTCCTCTACAAACAAGAACATAAAACCTTAAAAAGCTGCTTATGATTGATGGAAACTCAGCTACCAATGACCTGATGAAGCTCCGCTCAAACTCCTCAGACACGCGTCCAAAAGAGAAAACTAAAGAAAACTCGACTTTTCCAGACTGGTTGCTGATTTATTTTTATTTTTGCTGAACGCCGCTCAGGGTGGTGCTGTGAGCTCGTCGTTTTACAGCTAAGAAAGTGGTAATGTGATCTGGTGTGTTCAGACCTGTAGCTGCCAGATTTAGTGCTGAAATCCCACTCATTTACAGAATACACTACAGAATCTGGCAGCTTCTCGTTTTATTCAGGTCAACGCTTAAGGCCTCCGTTAGACAAATGAGGCGTTTATATAATGTTCATTTATAAGATAAAGTGTTACATCAGTTAAGTCAAAGGTTCTGGTTTTAAAAGTGAAAAAAGCTTTTCTAAGTCTTTGACTGTGTCAGGAAGTTAAAGATGAACAGATATGAATAATTATAATTTATAAAATTATCTCCTGGAGGCCTGAAGCTCTGCTCCTGATGTTAGCTCATCCTAAAACACTTTTATTCTGAAGGTTTAAATTATTTTTATCTCAAACAAAAACAAGAATTTGAAGAAAAAAAAATCCTATTTTAGAAAAAATAAAAAAAGAACAAAACAAGAAGAAATAAAACCTAATTCACATATTTTAAAGAGAACAGGAGCTCGTTGAAATCCATCCCCAAACAACTTCCTGTTATATTACTGTTTGCCAGGTCATGTTTGTATAAGAAAACATGTTCTCCAGCATTTTACCTGCTGAAAAAAGCATTTGCACGCATGCTGGAAGCATTTCAGTTTGTTTCACATTAATAAGTATGGAAAAACACATAAAAGCAATGAAGCAAGAACTTAAGCTCACTACTACTTATTTATTTTTACTACTCTTTTTCGTTCCACCTCATGTTTGACTTGTTTAAATAATTAATAAACCAATGTGTGATTCATTAACTGTCCGGCAAAGTCAGGAACCCTAACCCTGTTTAAATACTCTGAAATGATGAATGCAACAAAATAAAAAATAAATAAAAAAAGATTATTAGCAAAACATCAAATTTTATTTTGAACTGAGCAGCAAACTGAAGACTACTGCAATGTGTTTGTTCTTTTAGACCATTTTAATACTTTCTTTAAAGTGACAATGTGTAGTTTTTACCATTAATCTCTGGAAATATCCATTAAATGTTGTAAATGAATTATAAGAATAAAAAGATACCCAGTTTTTTAAAATATTGGTGAATTCATAACATAAAATCATAAAATCAGATCTAAAATACATGGGAGCTAGTCTAAGGGTGTTTCTCAATGTCAAGGCGCCTGGCCTTGCGAGGCGATGTCTTGCTAGGCCAGGCGCCTTGCTCACAAGGACACTGTCCTTCCTTGGTCAAAGAAAACGGTTAAATGGAACAGACTTGCATCACGTGACCGCGGCTTCCGTGGCTTCCACGGCGGTCACATAACGTCACATGAAACACGAGATAACGTTATATTATATACGTACAATTTTAACGATGTATAATGAAATTGTATATATATTTGTTAAATTAAATACAAACAAGTTACTACCCGCTAGCCACCGAAGCTGCAACTACTAAGCAACTAACAAACCAAAGATAACTTCTTTGGATCTAAAAGAAAAAACATTTTAATTCATTAACTGCCAGTCGTTTCCTGGTCGGTAAAGCCCTTCACTGCCACAGTTTCTCACCATTTTTACTGTTTTTTTTTAAGAGTCACAGAACGTTGTGTGCTAAGATGATGTTGACGCCAAAACAACCAAAACAAAGCGGAGACTCACCTCTTTTCCAGTTCGCGCCTCACTTTTTTACAGCAGCGGCCCAAAACGATCTCCTAACACATGGATTTTCTGCTTCCTGATCACGTGACGTGTGACGTACGCGGATGAAGATCGGCTTTAGAGCTGAGATGTTTGTTCTCATGGAGTGGGGGCTCGTTTTGATGCCCACACAGTAAAAAAATGCAAATGCAACTTCAGTCGTCAATGGCAGTGAATTAGTTAAATTAGTTGGCTTACATTTAAACTTGAAATTTGCTGGCGAAGTAGCTGCCAGCTTCAGATTTGCCATCCTTTTGAAAATATTGCGGTGTATTCTGGGTAATTTTTGACCAAGGCTTCGCTACAAGACACCTCCCGTGTATCCTTGCTCAGCTAGCTAAATGGCTACCAAACGGAGAACAAACGCCTCGGTAGAACATAGGGATGCACCGATGGATCGGGATTTGATCCCAATCGGCCGATAGCGCCCCTATCGGTTTTGATCGGAGTTTTCAAAATAGATCAAAGCAGACCGATCAGACCATTTTAGATTAGGTTACATTTCCTTTATTCCCAGATTATGTAGTTTGTAGCACTCATTATAATGTTGTAGAAAATTTCTGGCCAATCCACGTGATCGGTATCGGTGATCGGTATCGGTGATCAGCATTCTTTGATATCGGTATCGGTGATCTGCAACAAAAAACCTGATCGGTGCATCCCTAGTAGAACATGGACATTGGAACACGTCTTGACGATTCCTGATGACGTATCTCCTAGGCAACCGGGGCGGGACCAAAACAGCAAGACAACGTTCCTTGGCATTGAGAAACACCCCAAGTCTCTGGGCGACACCATATTGGATGTCCTGTTTCCTTCTACGGAAGACTGCGAGGACAAAATGTATTTACTGATTTGTAACAAATGGTTACAAACCTTTAAGCATTATTAAACGCTCTTTCACACATTTACCTCTTCACTCATTGCCAGTGATGTAAGGGAATATGATGTTCTTGTTATTTTGCTGAAGTTTGCACTCCCCAAGCCTTTTTGATCCTAATGGCCATCTGCTGGTAAGGTCTTACTTGAACACAAAAATAATGCTTGCTTCCAATGATTTAGGTATCTACTGCTCCCTATCGCCAGGGAAAACACACACCGTCACTTTAAAAGAGACTAGGCAGTTTAGGCTCGCTTTTAGCACCCCCTAGTGTCTGTTTGTAGAACCGAAAGCAAAATGTATCTCCTCGCTGTGCATTCTTCTTTTTAACACCTTATTCTAACAGCTGAAAAGTCTCCACAGCCTTCCTTAGTGTCTACAGGAGTGATTCACCACTAAAGTAAACAAATCAACTGTGTTCATGATCTAAAACATGCTGGAAGCAGATTGCAGTGCCAGGTATTTCAGCTCAACAGAGCAGCCGACCACTCTGAACTTGCAAGTGAAATATTCTGGCCATGGGGGCGATAGGGCCTTTCATTACCTACGTAAAGGGTCATTTTAGCACATACTGGCTAAAGAATTTTTCTTTTAATATGAAAAAGTTGCAAAGTATCTCTTTAAGAATGAAGACACAATCTGTCCACTCGTAATAAAAGGTAGTTTTTGACCATAGTCAAATTTATCCTCATTTTTGTTTCTTAATATTTAGAATTAATGTTACTTCTTGCATAATGTTTTTAAGCTGTTCCCAAAAAGTGCAGCTTAGTGGCGTGAAATCTGATATGTGTGCTGTTCAAACACAGCAGCTGGTATGGTGAACTACAGTGAGAGCAGACTGCAGGTAGAAGAAAAGCTAGAGAGATGGAGATGTGTACTGGAAAAGAGAGGAACGAAGATGAGTCGCAGCATGTGTGAATACATGTGTGTAAATGAGGGACACAGGTGGACAGGGAGTAACAGTAAAGAAGAAGTACTTGGGTCTATGGTCCAAAGGTATGGGGAGTCTGGAAAAGAGGTGAAGATGTCATGATGAAGCAGGTTGGAATGGGAGGAGAAAAGTGTCAGGGTTTCAGCAAGACTGAAGGGAAACATTTAAAAGACAGCAGTGAGACCAGACATGTTGTTTGGTTTAGAGACAGGAGGAAGAACTGGAGGTTTCAAGTTGTTGAGGTTCTCTTTGGGAGTGGTGAGGATGGATAGGATCAGGAGTGAGTCCATCAGAGGGACAGCTCATGTGAGATGTCTTGGAGATAAAGTCAGAGAGGACAGAATGAGATGGTCTGGACATGTCCAGAGGAGAGACATGATCACATAGGTAGAAGGAGGCTGAGAAGAACTTAGTGGACGTGGTGAAAGAGGACATGGAGTTAGTTGGTGTTAGGGTTGAGAATGCAGAAGATCTGGAAAATTTTCATAAAAAGAAAAATCAAAGAACATTATTTCAATAAGAAATTTTTCGACTGTGCGGATATTTTGTTGAGCTAAATGTGCAGCAATTTCTCCAACAGGTCAGAGAATGAAGGGATCTGATTGTTACCTTATTGATGGCTTTGGACCGAGACACCCCAGGCAGACCCACGTCATGTTTACTTTTTCGTCCCAGAACATCAAACTTCTTTCGGTTAATTTTCACCTCAAATGGGTTGTTTTTTATCTCAGAGGCCGTCTTGGTTTTACGGACCTTGTCTGCGAGACTCTTCTTTTTGGGTGGCTTCCCCATCTGTGGGGGAGACAAGAGACTGGTGAGGTGACGTCACTGCTGCTGCTGTAAAACAGGCTCTGGTTAGCATCGTATTAAACTTAGGTTTTTTTGGTAGAAGCACTTCTATATTTAATACGAGCTACGTGAAAACAATAAAAAATAATTTGCACTGTGCTGGTTAAGTGCGCTACAAATCTTCCCAAGACCAGTCTGAGTCGCTTGTAAACAAATAAACATTTTGAGAAACCGGAAACGTTTACCTTCAATCTGTGCTGACTAGACGATTTATCAAACCCGTTTGGAATAAAACATGAGAACAAAACTCTGCAGAGTCCCACTGGAAAAGGAAATAGTTTAGACTTTTGCTATCCACGTTGCTTCACGGGATTCCCATTTTTCAGCACGAGAACGCGATGTCAGAGTTCAATTCGGCTAACAACTTCCGGTGTGAAATTCTTAACAGCGTCTCTAGCGTTGAAAACACGTAATAACACACAATAAGCTCGATTCTGTAAAGTAAAAGAAAACCTACCTTATTTTTGATTTCTATTAAACAATAATTCGTTGAAAAACACTTGAATTCGTCATGAAGCGTTGCTCCACAAAACATCAGTGGACTTGTGCAAAAATGTTTTTGTAGGGACACTTTTAATGGTTAGAGCATTTATTTATGTAGAGTATGTTGGTACCTTTGAGTTATTTACTGATTGCATAAGTGTGTGTGTGTGTGTGTGTGTGAGTGAGAGAGAGAATAACTATTAAATCAAATATTGGTTTAATGATTGATTTAATACCCCCCTAAAATTTCCACAAGAGCCATTTTAAATTTTATGCAGTAAAATGTCTCAGTATACTTCCACTGACAATTGAAGGGATTTAATCTATATTCTATGTAAAACATGCCACAGTGACATGTCTGCACAACAGAAGCAAGTGATTCTATTGAAAATCTATAATGTATATGAACATATGTTATGTATAATATAACTACACAACACTGCTGTTGAAGAGTGTTTTTTATTCATGGTTGTAGAACAAGTGAAAACATAACAAAACAAGAAGAATTAACAAGTTTCTGGATTAAATAATTCAAAACAAAAGTTTAGATGATAAAACAAGAATTCAGAGATTTTTAAGCAAACAAAATTTAAAATGCAATTAAAAAGGGGTTGGGAGTCATTTTTGAGGTCGCACACAAAGCTTTGCAAATGCAGCACCTGTTGTGAGCAAGGTCATTTTAATAGAGTTAGATGAACCTGATCTCTACATTTTTGCATTTTGGTTTATTATAAAAGCTGATTAAAACAAGATGGATGGCCTAAACCTAGAAATGAAACAGAAATAACTCTTAATAAAAATGTTTATATCCTCAAAATCAAATTGATTTAAAAATGCTGATAAGACCCAGTGTAGTCTAGAGATTGATAATGAAGCTTTGGGACATCACCATTTTCATCTTCTATATGATGACTCAATCTGCTTTCAGACAGAAACTATTAAATCAAAAACGTAAAATATCACTTTTTGTTTCCCCACTGACCAAGTGACAAATGATTTAGTCAAATAAAAAGCTAAAACAGTGGAAAACCATTAACTTTCTTCACAGATCGACTCAAAGCCGACAAACGATGCAGAAAGTAACTTGAAATAAATCTAGTTTATGATTTTAACGCATAGATAACAGTGGTGTTAGAATAAAAATGTAAAAAGTCACAGAGTAGATGTAAAATGTAGTGAATGCTTTAACAGGAACATCAACATGTTTTGTTCTTTCACAGCTTCGGGAAAAAAAGGGTATCTGTAGACGTAACTGTCAGAATTTACCAGCAGATAAACGAGACGGTGCAAGCTCCTCTTCTGGGTGTGACTGTTATACTCTTAAAAGACACTTTTATATTTAGATACAATCCCTTTACATTCTAGTGGTTACAACGGTTAATAATTCAAAACAATAGCAGACAAGCTTGTGGGCCCGCAGTAATAAACATGCAGAAAAAGGCCGAGTGGAGTGGACGAGACCAACAGCATCACTCACAACTAAAAGCTCAGAATGATCAGAAACATCAATGTTTTTACTTTGCGTACAAAAATGGCACAAACAAATAAAGATGTCAAATAGGTTAATAAGCCTGAAACGGATGAAATTAACAGAAAGCCTAATTTTATCGTGTCTCGCTTGAAGCGACAGAAGGTGAAACGGAGCAGAGGCCTGGAGGAACGATGTTCCGACATTCTTCAATCTTATGATTCAGACTTTTTTTTTGTTTTTCTTTAGGAAGGAGGGAGTGCGGAACTTCTTTTTCTTTTTGGAGGGCGATTTGCTGGGAGACTCGTCTCCTTCCTGGTCCCCGGCGTCGGCGGGTTCCTCCCCCTCAGCTGCCCCTGTGGTGGCAGGTGCAGGGGCGGAGTCTTCAGCGGGCAGCGCCGGAGCATCAGAGGGGTCGTCGGGGCTCAGATCTGGAAGGGTCTGTCTCAGGGTGGCTGCATCACTCTCGTCCTTATAGGCTTGTTCTGGTGGGGACTCTGATGGGGAGGGAGGGAGAGTTAGTGAGGGGAGAAGGCGGTGGCTGGATCTGCCAACATGGCGGTCAAGATCCTGCAAATCAATTAATGGATGCGCAGCAAAATCCACACAACCGTCTACTTAAATGCTTCACCTTGTCAGTTCAGGAGTCTGTAAGAAAGCTTACGACACGAGTCCCAGAGGACAAGGCTGTTACTTCCACTAAAGTACATTCTACATAAAACACTTGAATGATGCACATGACACACACACACACACACACACACACACACACACACACACACACACACACACACACACGCACACACACACGCACACGCACACGCACCCTTCCTAACTCTAATCTTTGACAAAGAGCTAAAAACCCAACATTTGTCAAGATTCCTTCTTTCCAAAGTTCAAATGGGTTCACAGATTTTGATATTTTACCTTCATTTATACAGGCAAATCTTAATGAGTGCACTTCCCTTGTTCATCTGCACCCTGTGTACAAAATAAAGTGGAAAAACAGAGAAAAGGCCTCAATGTCAAAAAAATAGTCAAACCTTTCAGGTGTCTCTGAAGATTGGAAACCAAAACCACACAGGTGAGTCAAGAAGGACAGAAAAGCAAATTCATTCAAACTTGGAGCAGCTCTCATGAAACAATCCGTTAACAACGATCAGCCAAAAGAATCCTAAATGAGCCCACTTTTAGTTTTAATCCACACGTTTAGACACACAAGTCTTATTTTAAGGTCACCTGTTTGCAATAAGTTGCTACAGTTTTGAAGAATAAATAAATAAAGTTTCCATTTTGAACCGCTGGAAGCACAACCCCAGCTGTTTAAAGGGGTGGGACACTAATTTGAGTACAGCAATAGCCGAGTTTGGCCAATTCCTTTAACACGTAGCAAAAGCTGAGCAAATCATCAAATTTAATTTCAGTTTAGGCCTGAAAAAAAATCACTGACAAAAAAAAGTTACTCTTAATGTTTTTGTCCCATGTAAGTGATATTTTAATGCTTTCATGCATGAATAACTTCAGCAAGGAATGCTTTCCCTGATTCATAGTCCCTGAAAAACATGTTTTAAACCTTTTTCCTCCAAATACCCTCTCATATTCTTTCTCTCTCACACACACACACACACACACACCCACACACCCACACACACACACACACACACACACACACACACACACACACACACACACACACACACACACACACACACACACTTTACTGTCAGAGTACTAGAGTTCCAGAAATGAACGTTTTGCTCAGATCATGTACTTGTTGCTTAGACACCCAGGCTTCCGTAGCAGCTCTTCGGTGCTTTAGCAGCAGCGCCGACAGAAAAGAGCCAAAATAAATTTTAAAACATGTTACAAAAATTATTCATATTCTTTCTATCCTAAGTAGGCAAGGGCTTTTTTACAGTAGTAGTACTGATTCCAGTATGTTACATTTATTTTGGATCCATTATTTATACTGTATTAGGTTTTAAACGATGGTTTTAAATCACCACTGAACAGCTCAACTCTGCCACCTACTGACTTGTGTCAAAAGCCTTTTTAAAATATGAACTCGGGATCAGAATCCTGCAATAAGGTGGTTACCCGTGGGTGACCTTGGTACAAGTATTTTCAACTATAATAATATAGAATCCAACTATATAGTAAATGAAAGCAAAAACGGGCCGTAAGTTTAGCTTTTGTAAACAGAATCAGCAGAGGCAGCGCAGCAGCGCTCCAGGAGCTTCTCTCTGTTGGAGCTGAAGCAGATTACCAGAGACTGCACAGGGACTGTGTAGGACAGACACCTTTAGGGGCAGATTGTTAAAAAACTTTATCACGATTTTGATCGCATTTGATCGCACTGTTTTGTAAAATAGGCTCCCCCTCCCTCCAGTCCCCTCCCCTCCTACCGTAGATTTATGTTAGTGACTGTTCAGTTCATGTGCTCATCGAAGATTTTCCTGATTCTCCACCTCTGCCCCCGGCTCAGAAGCAGGGCAGAGGGACATGTTTTTTGTCCCTCATACCCCTCCCCTTCCCTTGTTGGTTTTTCTCTCCATCTTGTTTCACTCCTGCATATGAGAGTGCTATGAAGGCTCCTGCCCACAGTTCAGGCTGATTCGGTTATGCCGAGTCTGTGTATGTCTAATGTCTAATCTTGGACGGGTTGTTCTGAAACTGTAATCTCGCTGTACCGGGACACTGGTTCAATGACGATAGAAGCTTCTTGAATCTTAGCTCTTTGCTTCACCTTCAAAGACATTGCTCTCTTCCTTTTAATTCCAGGGTCCACCACAATGCCAAAAAGAAAGTTAAGTTTTTCTTCTTGTGCTTTTTACTGACAGTCGACGAGCTAACGTAGGTTAGCCTTATGAGATGCTGCCACAGTAAAGCTGTAAAGCAGGTAAAAGCCTCTAACAGTGCCTACCCGAACCACCTAAGTTGTTTCGTGCAGTTTCTGACCAGAAGAGGGCCTCAGAGCGTTGCGTCAACCTACTCAAGAATCACTGAAACCAGTTAGAAAGCAATAGCTTAAAGTGTGAAAGACTATTTCTTTAGATCCAAGGCCTGGGTTGGGAATAGGGTTGTCACGGTAACCGGTGTAGCGGTAAACCCCGGTAAAAAGTTGACAATAATAATAATAAACGTCTTGTTTAAAAAAAAAACTATATTATCTCGGTGGATTACCGTGGCTGCGGTGTAGGCGCGGTGACCCTTACCAGCCACCGTATCATCTGCTGAAGTTGCCGGCGGCACATGTGCACTTTGTTGTTTACAACCAAAACTTTCTTGAAGCTTAAGCTGAAATCATGGCCAAAGGAGGAGACGGCAGCGCTCAGGACATTTTTTTATCCCTCAAAGAAGACAAAGTGGGAAGTACGGGCATGTTTTGGATATTTGAAGAATGCCGAGGGACAGCTGATAGAAGACGGCTATCCTGTTTGCAGCACGTGCAGAAAAAGTGTCTGTGAAAGGCAGCAATGCTTCAAATCTCATGACACATCTGCGTGACCATCACCCACAACTCTGCAGTCAACGCAAGGCAAGCTAACGTTAGCGTTTTAGCTAAAATGAGTGATCCGAGGATTTGGGTTGAGGGAGAGTGCAACGAGTCGCTATATAAAGCAGCCGCAGCGCCGCTACCTGCATATAAACCGTGTCGCGGACACCCCCATGTTGAAATGACGCTATGCATTACGGGGCTCCCAGGGGCAGATAAGAGTTGGTCTCTCTCCGAGAATAATTATGAATTTAACAATGATTACTGCCTGATGACATTTTCCCACATCTGCAAACCTCACTGGAAGGACACAAACCGAGGATGATATTTTCCTGATATAGGGTTTATTACTCAAGTAAGGGTAAAAAAAGTATCTGATTAGAAGGCTACTTGAGTACCGAGTATCATCTGATCTAATATTTTTAAAATGATGACATCAAACAGACAAAAAATAAGAAGTTATGGGCAAATATTGCTATTTTAAAGACTAAAGGGGAAAAATGTAAACAAACAACATAATTACAAAATAACACATTTTAGGCAAAATTTAGACACAAACTGAGGACAATATTTCCTGACATACAGGGTTTACTTAATTGTGTGAAAATGTAGCACGTTTAAAAAAAATACAGCGATAATACCGAAAACCGTGGTAATTTTGGTCACAATAACCGTGAGGTTAACTTTTCACACCGTGACAACCCTAGTTGGGAAAGGATTTAATCAGGACAAGGTCGGGTGTGAAAATCACCCTAATGGGTAAGGGTTGCAGGATTCTGACCTGAACAGTGATTCCTACCTCAGGAGGTCATTTTTCTTGTTCGTTTTCTGTGATTTAGCAGTCCTACATTTAGTTGTCTTGTCACAGCAGAGAGCTCCAATAGTATGCAAAAGTCAGCACAAACTGATCACACACATTTTTAGTCTGTGACCGTCACACTTTAAAGTCCCAGCAGAGAGAAGATGTCAGAACAAGCATCATCATCATCATCATCCACAACACCACTACAAGCTGCAACACTGTGCAGACCAACGCCACACAAGGACAGACCAACTGGTTTTTAGCACGGCTTCTCATGCGACAGAGAAAGAGTGAAACTGGACCTCGTCCTTTTACACCTCAGAGAAGAGACAACAAGCTCAACAACACAGACAAAGAAAACGAAGACCAGGAAGCAAACAGCCACACTCCAACCACGTTTTCAGCTAAAACCAACAGCAGCCATTTGGGTTAAAAAGCATCAAGTCGAAGCCCCAAAGTACCTGGTAAAGGACTCGCCTGCAGGACAGACCACAGTTTAAACACATTTTCAATATCCTTTAATTAAAGAGACAGAAATATACATGTGCTTATGTGCAAAAGAGGGGTTGGTTAATCAGAGAGTGAAGAGAAAAGAGGTTATCTAAAGTAAAGACTGAGCAGGCTGTGAGATTTACTTCAGAAACTTGCTCCACCTTCTTTATCATTCAGTCGTAACAACTGAGATCATGCCAGCTGATCGTCTACTGAAACCAATTCATACATGTAAAACAAGGAAGGAGCTCTGAAATAACCCCCATCAACCCGGAGAGAGAAATATCAGAGAAACAAATGCCAACGGGTGCTAGCTCAGACAGCAAACCAGCTCTGCTATTAAAGACATGCGAAGGAGAGGAAAAAAAGAGACGTCCAAACACAAGCGTGGAGGGTGAGCAGTAATTATGAGGGTGGCGAGGAGGTGGAACAGTACATACTTACTATGGCAACAGGTACTCTTTTGTATTTCCATCTCCTGATTGTAAACGCAGCCACAAAGAAGAAAAAGCACAAGTAGAAACAAATGTCTATGCAGGTCAAACCACAGGCACCATGTTAAATAAAAAAGAAATCAAATTGTGAAAGAAGAAAGTATACCGTAAATCCTCTAATACAGGCCCGGGCCTGTGTTTGACTCAAGCTCATCAAGCTCCAGGCCTTTATTGGAAGGAGGACCAGAATTAGAGGCAGGCCTCTATTTCTATTTGAGCAAAATGAACTAATGGTTCGCTGGAGTTTTTGACAATTAAAATCGCGCCCACATTTTCAAAGTTAAACACATTTCTTTTAACAACGGTAGTTTCTGCTTCAGCCCTCTCCCCACTCCCCCTGCACAGCGGCTGCAAACTCACTGATGCGCCTGCAGCCTCTCGGAGTTCCTGCTGCTCTAAACATTAAAATAATTATTTCATTTTCTGTTCCTCACTTCTGATTACCTTCAATGGTGTCTGTTTGTTGCAACCACCAGGTACAAAAACTAACTTGCCTTTATTTGACTATTTTTCAGTCCTGTTCGTTTATTATCTTCCTGCATCTCCTCTCAGTCCTAAAAAGAAACTGCTACCTGGGTTCATATATATTCACCTTATGAGTTACCTTTGAACTGCAGTTCTAAGATCTACCGACCGCAAAAACAGCGGAGCGCTCGCTGCTTGGCGGCCGCATCAGTGATCGGTGCGTCACCGGAGGACAAGGTGATGTGCCCCGCTCCACAGCGAAACACATCAGGCGCAAATAAAAGACAGAAGGAAATGAGCCGACATGAACGATCGCGTGTCAGTACCGACGCTCTGGCACAGCGCGTCCCCCCCCCCCCCCCCCCCACCCCCCCCCCCCCCCCACCCCCCCGAGCGCATGAGCTCGTCACCTGCTGACAGCAGACTGCTGTCTTTTCCGAGGGCTGCATCTTGCCGGTCATTATCACGTGACAGCGACTAGTCGATGACAGGCATAAAAAGTCACTATAGTGAAGTCGACTAGTTCATACAACCCCTATTGCTCCCCAGAGTTCTGCAGCGCACGTTCTCTTTGAACTTGATATCAAATTTTCGCCGCCTCTTCATCTCCACACCTGCCTAATCGTGGTCTATCACTGGCAAATCAAAAGTGAGACGGATGACACAACCGTTCCCCCGTGGTACTTGCTTGTTACCACATTCCACCCGGCCACAATAAAATACCGGCCACTATTCACCTCCGCCGACTCCGACACGGCCAACATATGATACCCGGCCGTTAATTGAATACAGGACAATATTAGAGGATTTACGGTATACAAATAAATAAAACACACCAGTAAATTAAAAAGTAACCTAAAAGGTTGGGAACCATTCTGAGTAGACCCAAACAGATGGAGAATGAAAGTGACAGACAGAAGATTCAGAGACAACAACACTCGTGAGATTAGATTACACCTGGGATCAGACCGAGGCCTCGCCCCGACTAAATCAGACCTTTTCTTTTAAAGTCACTTCTAGTATCATGAATGATGCTGCTGAAAAAGGTGTAATCCAACGGTAATAAAGACCAAGAGGGAGAAGAGGGAAGTAAAAATTGTTTTGTTGTCTCATAAATTTGCCTTATTGCATTACATATCTCCTCTAATAATAATTATTATTATTATGAAACACCTCTTGGCCTGTTATTACTGAAACACAACACAACACGTGTAGGTAGTAGTATTATTAAAGTCCACAGCAGACAGGCAAGAGGCTCCACGTTTCCCCCGTAGGTCCAATAAAACAGAACAGTGCCGCAGAACCAAACCCATGCTAAACCAGGCCGAGTGTTTCCGGCTAACGTACCTTCCTCTGCTCTGACCGGGGTGCTCGGTGGTGTGGATGCGGGCTTAGGGCCTTTGGGCTCCTCCTCAGACTCCAACTGTTGCTCTGGATCTAAACGAAAAAGCTCACAATAAGAAAAGGGTCACCCTACATAAAGTAAGAGTCGATTTTGGAGAAATCACTTTATCAGATTATATGTGGTCGTAGCTCCAGGTTGTCAAAGACATTTAAAAAATGACATATTTTATGGGAGAATCAAAGAAAAAGATCCAAATCAGGGGGAAATCAGTTTATAGGAAAAAGTGTCCAAATCTATTCAAACCATTTTGAAAAATTATATTCAATTTAACCCAGAAGGGAAAATGACACCAACAACCAGGCAGAGTTAGGAGGAAGAGGAGGATCATTGATTTTCCTCACAGGGGACACGTTCCTGAAGAAGTGCTTTCATCACACAAGGAGAGAATAAACCTAAAAGGATGGTTTTCATTTAAAACTCCATTCCTCTACTCGGCCCAGTCAAACTGCAGACCTATGGGATGAGGCAGAGCTGTGATGCCTTTAGACATCAGAGACGAGAAACAAAAGGATAAAACAATCAAGCAGAGATGAAACAAGGAAGGTGCTTGGACCCGGTGAAACACCACCAGCAGACTAGACCATCAGACAGAGATGGGAGGAAACAGCGGGACTCCCAGACTCCTGGTGAAGTGGATTATAAAGACAGGAGGGCCAGGGAAGGAGGAGAGCTGACTCCACACCATCTGCTGTACCTGGAGCCTGAACTGCTGCTTTCACTCCTGAAGGCTCCTTGCTGTCAGACACCATCTCAGTCGAGTGGAAATCTACTTTTGGAAACTCTAGAGTGGAAAAGACCTCATCTGTGGGTGAAAAAACATCATCTGCTCCTGCCTCTGCTGACTGTGAACCACCATGAGCGGACCAAGGAACTCCAGATGATGTCTGAGAGGAGGAGAGAGGGGTAGGAGCTGGAGACTGGGTTTTCCCCGGACGAGAGTCCATGTGACCAACCGGCTCTGGTCCAGATATGCTGGATGTAGAGGTCGGTCCTCTTTCTCCTTCTTTCACTGTGGATCCATGTTTGTGTAGAAAAACAAGAGTTCATGCATTCCAAACATTTAGGACTTCCCTTCAACAACCACAAAAAGAAAAAAAATCTCAGAAAACTAAAAAACATAAGAGCTGGAATCGTTCAACTTCTTTTGGTAGAAAACTAGAAAAGTGAAGATTTAAAAACACTTTTAAAGGGAGAAGAAACAAATTAGATAAAAATAAAATCAACGACCACTAGGCAACCACCGACTATCAAGTGTGTTTTGGGAGCTTTGGAGAAAAATAAACAAACACCATGAACAGATGATTCTTTCTGTTATAAGCAGCATTTTGAACAACCTCAGTTTGGAGAAACACATTATTCTGATTGGACTGATGAGCTAACAGCTAGTCGCGCCAGGGCCAATGTAAAATTTTATTACGTTTTCTGAGGATGTCGTTGCAGAAAAGATGGTTTCATATCACATGGTTATTCTAGAACAAATGCTGATCTTCCCTGAACGGGCCTTTCCACTAGACGCGTTGCGTAACATTCGCAAAGTGTACGACTCAGAAATTAGCCAAACATTTTGGTGGATGGGTGCGTTACCACCAGCGGCCAAGCTTTTCGATCTTGGAAGAGTAGTGATGCGCTGCTTACGATTCAAGTCTTTTTTTTTTTTTAAACATACTAATTTGCATGTTTTCTACTTTGCTTGTCAGTTTCACCTTCACTTTCTCTCTGCTTCTGCTCCACCTCCCTACGGTACTCTTCCAGCTCCTGGTCGGTGAGTTTGGTGAAGGGGTTGGGACCAGTCTTGCTGACGATGACCTGGGGCTGGTACTCCTTCTCGATGATGGCCTTGGACGCGGTCACCAGCTCACCCTTTAGGGAAACACACGGAGGACAAAGGAAACATTTAACAATTAGTCAAAACTAAACAGAACAATGTTAAACTCAGAAAAACGGCTGCAGTGTCAAAGTGATCAGACAACAGACACGTTTCCTTAAAGGGATACCAGGCAAATTTGGCTTGCTTTTAGCACCCCCTGGTGTCTGTTAGCCAAAGCAAAAGTGAAACTTATGTCCTCGCAGTGTGTAGCAGAGCCCTGCGCGGGACTGTTTTCTTCATCCTGCTCCTGCCCGCTCCCGCTGAATTTCTGACCATTACCGCCCACAACCGCAACGTGTGTGTTACACTCCCGCCCGCACCCGCAGTGTGCATGTCTACTCCCGCCCGCAACCGCAAAACTCGGAGAAATTATTACCTCACAATAAAAGAGATGTATTGAGTTTGCGTCCTCTCTGGTCCTGGAGAAAACATGTCATTTTATAGGCTATACCAGGGGTCGGCAACCCGCGGCTCTTCCATCCATCTGATGCGGCTCTCTGTGCTTGTAAAATAATGAATGGATATTTAAATAAAATGCTTTATATTTTACTGCATTAATTTTACATCTGTATGCCAATTCTAAATGTAAAGATTGTCTGTGTAAACCTGAACAGTTCCAACCCGGTCTTACTGTGAGACCGGGTTGACGGGTCACGCTTGTGCGTAATCATAGGCGCTTTCCGAGCTGAAGAGGATGTGAGATTCTGGGCTTCTCCTCAGACGGCTCCTGGATGTGTCGCCACATTGGAGACAGGAACAAGCACTATTCAGCCAAAGTTTCATAGTCAGGGAACATTTTATAAGTGACAAGTCTCTCTGAGAGACCGGGTTTGGAAAACACTCGCTTCAGTGGGAGGAATCTTCCTGCATGCGCTCTGGTTCTGCGACGCACTCCTAGCCCCTCTCCACATCTTCAGCTCGCTGTGCACCTTACGTATGCGCTGACAGCGAGCTGCGCTGAGCAGTGTCCAGCTCAGATGTTCAGATGGGAATCTTTTCTTGGGTGATTTGGCTACATCTGCGATGTGCGTAACAAATAAAATGTCAGTTCGTCTGCATGCGTCGGGGTAATTCTTTCTACTCTTTCTCCGTCAAAATAAACGGTCAAATGCGGGAACTATCCGGTCAACACAAGCCCTGCTTTTAACTGTTTTTCCGTGACTGTAAATGAGGGAAAAACAAATTGATCGGATCCTGCACGTCTTTTATCACACTGGTCAGGATTGACGCACTTTGTTTTCATTTAGTTTTTAACCCTTTAACGCCGAGGCGTCACCAGGATCACCGGTGACGCCTCGGCGCATGTGATTTCAAATAACTCCTCGCTACTTAAACTATAAAATTCTTAAAAAATATATATAAAGGAGTTACTGTGTGGTGCTTAAAGGGTTACTGAAATCCAGGCCGTGTCATATTCTATTCTCCTCTGTAATCAGGCAGTGATCAGGTCTCTTTTCTAAGAGAGACCTGAATGACAAATATTAACACAATCGGAGAAACTCCTCCAAATGTCTGACTTGCCTTACTTTGGTTTTTGTGTCATAAAGACCTTGTTTCAGCTTCTTTTCAACATCAGTTGCCGACTCCATCATACTCATCCCGATCCCGCACTGTTTCTTTTAGCCGACCGTTCCCGCCCGCAGCAAAGTTCACACGGCCCGCCCCCGCAAGATTTGTGTTGGGTCCCGCGGGACCCAATCCCGATGCAGCCCTCTAGTGCATAGCTCTTTTAAACATTAGTAATGTCTACAGGAGTGATTAATCATTAAAGAGCAAGTCAACCCCTACCAGAGTATTACTCCACTCCTACTTCCTGTTTGAAAAATGCAACAAATGCTGTTGCCAAGCAGACCGAGAGGGCGGAGCCGCTAACAAATACACACACACACAGGCTCATAACAGTGACATCATATGGTACCAGCTAATGTTCTAGGGTACCTCTTAGCCAATAGCAATGACAGATTTAAATTCAAATGCAGTGCAGTTTTTACCTGACAATGGCACAACACTGAGTTTTAGGCAGAAAGTTAAAATTTTAATGGCCGACACTCGGAGCCTGCAACGTATCCTGCCTTAAAACCCTCCAACGCATAGTGAGAGCAGCAGAGAAGATCATTAGGGTCTCTCTCCCCTCCCTACCGGACATTTACAGCACCCGCCTCACAAAAAAGGCCCTTCGCATTGCGGCTGATCCCACTCACTCAATGCAAAGCCTCTTGGAGCTGCTGCCGTCAGGGAGGAGACTGCGGAGTCTCAAGGCCAGGACCAACAGACTGAAGGACAGCTTTATCCATCAGGCAGTTAGGAAGCTAAACTCCCTCCCGGCTCTGCCCCCTCTCCTCTCTTTTCTCCATGGTCTCTCTGAACTCGATCTGATGTAGTTTGTAAAAACATACAAACCGGATTCCAAAAAAAGTTGGGACACTACACAAATCATGAATAAAAACTGAATGCAATGATGCGGAGGTGCCAACTTCTAATAGAATAGGTCATATATCAAGGAACAAAAGTTTAAACTGAGAAAATGTATAATTTTAAGGGAAAAATATGTTGATTCAAAATTTCATGGTGTCAACAAATCCCAAAAAAGTTGGGACAAGTAGCAATAAGAGGCTGGAAAAAGTAAATTTGAGCATAACAGGAGCTGGAAAACCAATTAACACTAATTAGGTCAATTGGCAACATAATTGGGTATAAAAAGAGCTTCTCAGAGTGGCAGGGTCTCTCAGATGCCAAGATCACCAATTCCCACAATGTTGTGCAGAAAGAGAGTGGAGTAATATCAGACAGGAGTTACCCAGCGAAAAATAGCAAAGACTTTGCAGTTATCATCATCAACTGTGCTTAACATCATCTGAAGATTCAGAGAATCTGGAACAATCTCTGTGCGTAAGGGTCAAGGGCATAAAACCATACTGGATGCCCGTGATCTCCGGCCCTTAAACGACACTGCACCATGAACAGGAATTCTACTGTAAAGGAAATCACAGAATGGGCTCAAGGAATACTTCCAGAAACACTGTCCGTGAACACAATCCACTGTGCCATCCGCCATTGCCAGCT